CGTGAACAGAATGAACTCGTAATAGAACTAAAATAATGAAAATCGGAATAAAATTTTGGCCTAACCCTAACCTGGTACACAAACTACGGGAGTACCCACTTAGAATCTATAATAGGCCGACATATAACTAGGGCTGCCACTGGGAATTTCCGCGACAACGCTATCTGTCCGCAAACACCTTTTTAGATGATTTTATTATTGCTTAGTAAAGCGTATTAAATATTTTCTGTTGTATTTGCGCATCTGTCAAAAATTATTTAGATAATGCAAAACCCAGCATAATTCGAAGATGATGTGCCCCCTTCATTTAAAAGTTCAACCTATCGTGAGAACATTACGTCACGTCTTCCCCATTTTGCTCTTTTACGATAAGATAAAATTCCCAGCTAAACATTAAATTCAGGTTGCACAGTGACAGTGATTGTCACGCTTTCTGGCAGCTCGGTGTCAAGACACTTCTGACGCTCAACAATGTTTTGGCTATATTGAATTGAAATGCCGCCAAAAAGTGCTAGCTGGGATATCGTGTTACGTTAAAATATGCTAAAAAGTCGGTTCTCAGTCCGCGGATCACTAGCCTATATTTGGCCATTTATGCTACCGATTTGGGACTGGGTCAAATCCCCCTTCAGACCCAGCATCGTTAGGCATATTTTCGTTACATGTCATTTGGATTCACTCCAAAAAGGTTGTGGGAAGTATCCATTTGACCAACTTATATTTTTGTGTTATTTTTGTAGGTAGTCGAGCGTGTTTTATATACGTTTCAAATTTTTCTATCATTTCAGCGGTTAATGTGCATCCAATTATGAAAGCTAACTTCTTTCTAAATAGCGTAATTAGAATGCACTTCGCCAAATGTAATGTCAAAAATGTAAGCAAATTGTTCATGAATTGACTGGTAATTGTAGCCACATTGTCTTAATGAGAAAGTTTAGCAGGCGTATATCAGTAACAGACATGCCAAACACGCTGGCTCACTCGTTTGAATGTGTTCAAAAATTTTCGTTGAATTAAATTCGTTGATTACACAAAAATACTTTCACTCAGTTGTTGTTAAATAAATGATATATTTAAGCAGGCTATTTTTTTGGAAAAACTTGGCGGAAAATGGGATATATAGAACAATTTTGGGAAAATTTACAGAACTATAATTTATTTCACTTTTGAAACCAATATCTTTTTTATATGATTGAAGGATACGGTCATTATGGCGTAGCAGATATATTCGATACGGTAAGCCACGCCATTTGTTTGAAGTTTTTCCAATTTATACGCTCGCTTGAACTTTAACCCCTGAATGATTTGTGGTGTTTTGATATCACAGCAGTTATGAAATAATTATGAAAGCTTTCCTAAATAATCTTTGGTGTAGTATAAATAAAATAAAAATGAGGAGATGGGAATAATTTCACGTCACCAGTCGAATTTTTTATTTATGCTCCCGATTTGAAATCTCATAGGAAGAGATCGACAATCAATCAAAATTTTGGCTGTCATTATGATCTTTTGTACAAAATTGGTCGATATTTCAAGGTAATAAAATGCGCAATTATTCTGCTGAGTGTTTAATTTCAATTTTCAAAATTTGACGATTGAACTTCTTGTGTCCACCGTTCATATACTAATACGGTGATTCTTATATACACGTTACCACGCTACGTTACTACTGCTAAGTACTTATACTACCAACAACTTGTAATCGTAATGTTTTTAATATATACTGTACATCTTTTTTCTAACTTTTGTCCATTATTTTGAAATAACAATCCAATTGTTGATTTCGTATTTCCTGTCAAGAATATTTTCTCCATAAAAATGACCACCTTTCAACCACTCATCTTATTGTTTAACATATGTTTTGTAATTTTGTAATAAAATTAATTACAATGTGTATCGAGTAAAATTTGCCAAACATACCGCATATCCTTTGCTGCATCTGCGGCATGCTCTTTAATCTTTAAATTGATTTTTAAAATAGAAGATTTTTGTACTTTTCAAAAGCGATTAGTCTTAAGTTTAAATCGCACGTGGCTTAGAATATATATCTGCTAATTATGTACGGAATATCAATACAACATGCTTCTTGAAGCTAAAAACGAATGATATATTTTGACAGGCAGGATAATCCATGTTTACATAATAAAATACGACTGTAATCGCACTTGTAAGCCAAAAATAACACCATCTTCATTGTTTACCGACTGTTCAATTATTTTAAATAGCTTTATATGCTTTTTGAGCCGATTTCTACCAGCATATCAAATGAGAAATCAAAAAATTGTATTTATCATTCAGGATATTATCAGAAAGTTTGCTTCATCTCCACGTCAAAAAACCCTACGCGTGTCCTATTTGGATTATACGAACAGCCTTATTTCTTGCAAGTTTACCCCAATTTAAACCTGGAAATAATAGACGGGACCCGGAATTGTATTTCTTGGACTCGAATAAGGGCTGATTTCAATATAGGCAACAATGGTTTACACTTTAATTCGTATTTAATGGCATGAAACTTTTGGCTTGTATAAAAGAGAATAAATATTCCGGGTCGGAAAGTCGAAATTTTTGCCATCCTGTTCCGAATCCAAAATTCAATTCCGGTTTTGTTGTCCAATTTGCTAATATAAGCATGTTTCATTTCAATGTTGTTTTCGAATTTTCAACCACACTGAAGGTTTTAAGTATACAATGACCGATAGGGCAATGCTCAAATATATGCACATGGCGGTCAAATGACTACCCCGATGAAAATAATAATAAAAATATAGTATAAAACGGAGTAGTTGCAATAGCGAATACACAGAATCAGAAAGAATTAAAAGGAAAAATGCTCCAGATACTTCTTCTAACTTTACGTGTTAACATTTTGTAATAAATTGTTAGACAAGTTGTGGACAAAAACGATTTTATTAAAAAATACACTTTGCATTCAATTTAAACATAAAGCTAACTGTAGATGCAAAATGTAGTCAGTTTTTTTTAAATTGAATTAATTTTTTTTTCTCAAAAAAATATAGAGAAATTGCAAATCTAGTAACGGTTGAAGATCAATAAAAATACGTTCCCACGTTTCATTGTTTAATGGTTGAGTAATCCACTTACTAAATTTGTCTAATTTTTTTTTCGTTGATGCCCCTATAATCCTTTTCCAACAGCGACACCTGGCGGTTATTTTTCAGAATAAATTTTGAAAGATGATTTCGTTTTTGTGACCGAACGTGACCTGAATGTTTGATATCTTTGATGTCTTGCGCTTGTTTCAAAACTAATTAAAGAAGAAATAAACAGAACTATCATATGGTAACCCTCTTTTTGTCAAGGTTCAAAAGTTTCAAAAGGCTTGGCTGAGAAAATTTATCCACTTGTAGAGTACAATCAACCTACAAGACTTTAATTTGATCGTTTATTTTTTATTACCTAGTGAAACTAAGTGATCTGCAAATTTTTAGGTCAAAAATTAGTGAACTGCCTTTAAGACTTTCAATGCTTTCTAAAAAGGCCTAAAACTATTCAAGGTACAGACTAATCTTCAATGATTTGTTTATAAGGAGAAGCATTGAATAATATAAAATTGTCTTTTATTACATTCCATCATATTGTGCTGCTGCATGTACGTTTCCAACACCAAAACATTCAACCGATTTCTAAAATCTTCATTTTCCTCCTGTCGACTTTCTTCTGTTCCTCTTAAAAAACGATTTTCTCCTAAAACTGAAAGTCAACTAAGGAAATAGTACATGCACATTGGAACGTTTGTTTTAAAATATCCGGCGTGAAGCACTTATATCGTTGAAAGCGCCATATACTTTTATACCCCACACACACTCAACCAATCGCTCTTCTGCAGTCAGAAATCTTGAGAACATCAAAATACATTCTTCATGTCCCCAAAGAGGTGTAAAGTTATAGGCCTATTATATATATTACCCCAAAACCAGTCAGATGCTTTCTTGTATCAAATACCTGTTACCTGTTACTAATATCTTACCTCTTCACAAAATAAAACTTCACTTCGCTTATTTAGCTATTATACCGAAGTTTGATTTTTTTTCACCCCCGAAAATGCTGTTGATCATTTCATTATACTAGACACTATATTTCTGTCAGCAAAGTTCAGATTCTAAAAACTTTTTACCTTAGAAATATTTTTGAACCAAAATCTTTCTGTGACAGTGGTAACTTGAATTTCTCTTGGCGCGTCTGAAGAAGACTGTACTGTCAGTAAGCAGAGGAGGGGCAGTTTTTGAGTTGCTTCACAGATTGAAATATATTCATATTTCAAATAGTTGCTTAAAACTTCATAAATAGTGTAAAGGATCAGCCGTTGTATAGCGGGGCTGTATACATTTCCAGGTAAAATGCTTTAAAGCCACGATGTAACGTTCAACTCAGTTTTTGCCGGGCTTCATATGAAAAGGGAATCAATTTTTTATATCTTGTGATGAAATTATTCAAAATGGAAGCATCTGGTGTGGCAAACAAGCTCAAAAGTATTGTTACTTAACGAATATGAGTAGTAATAAATTTTCGACCCCTGAGATATAAAATGGGAAGGTGTTGAATTCACTTAGAATATTATTCTGTATGAAATGCAGTCCATATGTATTGAATCTAATAACTAGATCTTCTTATACAAAAACCTACAAAAACCTTTGGCATATATTCACGTCAGCGTAATAGATTATTTTTTATTAATGCTAAGAAATTGTCATGTGCAACGCTCTCATTTGGTAAAAAATTGGAAATTAAAATTGTCATGCATCGAAATTACACTTTTAAATCAAAGTAAATACTTCTAAAAGTACGAATGAAAGTAGTAATCCTTTCTTGGATTCCCGACAAATTAAAATATCACAGTGAAGAAAAAACAAAAATATTCCAGCATATAGGTACGTTAGCATGTTCCGGTCGATGAGCACAAACTTACAGAACTTTACAGACCAATCCGATAGTGGTGGCACGATTGAAAAATTCATTTCAACATTTCACAAAAAGATTCATGTGTCCATTCATTTCGTGTTAAAAACTACCAACGGTTTATACATAAATAAACTAAAATTGGTAAACTGAATTCTAAGAGGTATGTTCGTGAAAAAGTTTACATGAATATTAATAGTTCCATTCAGTCGATGGTGGATCTACATTCGAATCTTGCAGGTCATGAATTCGAATTTTCCTTTAGAATGCTTTTCTTCGGTGCAGAACTGTCTAGTATAGTCCTTGTTAGAACGCTTCAGGTTTCTAATTTCTTCGTGGATTCTTCGTCATTTTCAGTCTTTTCCTGTGGTTCTTCATCAGTATTATTTTGTTGTGATTTTTTACGATGAATTTTAACATGTTTTGATAAGTGATCTGATCTCATGAACTTTTTCTCGCAAATCTAAAGGTGAGAAACTAGATCAATTATTTGTGAACTCGAGACCAATCTCGGTTTCATAATGTAATGAAACCAGGCAATCAATAGCAAAATAGAACGAATTAAGACTCACAAGTTGAAATAAACAACCCATAAAAACTAAAAAAAAACAGTTTATGAGAACTCTGCTCAACGCAATCGTTTCAAATATATGGATACGAAAGCCAAAACAAAGTAGTACGGGTAACTATCTATCTAATCATTGACATCAGACTACCGGTCCCTCAGTCTTCTCGACTTTACCCGACCAGCAGATATCAAGGATTGCGAACGCAGAACCACCACAAGAGGTCGTCATCGCACACACAAAAAAAAACGGATCCCATAGAGCCCAGAGAAATTTTTAAAATAAATAAAATAGAATAATCTTCTAGCGACAAATATAATATTTAACCACCGACAATGGAAAGCGATTTTATCATAACAACAACAAGAAAAAAAATCATAACAACGACAACAGCAACATAATAACAAAACGATCCATATGTCCACCTCGTGTCCAATAACTCTTCTGTTTGATGTTAGTTAAGATTTAAGGTGGCAGTAACAATTTTTCATTCAATTTCCCAATTTGAAATATATTGTTACCTGACATTGAAATTTCTTCTCGCCTGTGTGAGTTCGAAGATGCCGCTGTAATTCGTCACTCCTTGTAAAACTTTTTCCGCAAAATAACCAATTACAAACAAAAGGTCGTTCGCCAAGATGCCATCTTATGTGCGCCTGAATTGAAATAAAATTGTTTTATATTACATAGCTCATATACACGAGATTTTGAAAAAGAGGGGGCAATGCTGATGAGAAGACAGCGAGTGATGCTCTACTGCAGTACGGAGAAGAAAAACTAACTCAGAGACCTCTGGTTTGAGACCTGATTGCTACAAACTAGAGGCTACCTATGCACAGGATGTAATACCTTGGGTATGAAATAGTTAGGGTAAATAAAGCAAGTTGCTTGCCATGTTAAAGTGACTGTATGGAATCTTGAAAGGAATGAATTTTATTTAAAAAATAGCTCTCTGAATATATTTCGCTGCTTGTACTGATATTTCTTGGGGGTGAAGATATGAAACGCATCGTTAAAGGCACCTTATTACCGACTATAGATTTACCTTCAGATGCGATGTTTTTCCGTAAACTTTTCCACAATTAGGAAAGTGGCAAATGTGTTCTTTCTTTCCATTAGCATTTCTCAATTCTGTCGGTGAAAGACAATTTGGACATCGACATCTGGCGCATCTGAACAAACATATCAAAATATACATAGCGACAATTGAGTCCACTTTTTTATATTTACAAATCAAGCTACGTACCTTCGAGTAATAGATGACGTAGCTGTCAGCCTATCTCCAAGTGCCAACAGTGCCGCGTGGTGCACGGAGGCTCCGGATGGAAACCCCGGTACAAAATTACACTGACTCGGAGTTGAAAACTGATTCGGTTGCGATACCCGATGTGAAAGTAGATGCGGCATGTAGGAAGACCCTGTCAATAACATCGGAGTGTGTTTATAAAAGTCGCATGCGTAGGAAAGACTAGACTGTGAGGTATATTTTAACTAAACACTTGAATGGCTTGTGAAATATAGGCATATTAGGGTATAGCTCTTAGGCCTTGAGTCCTGTACATTACCCAATAGAGTAGACCATACAAAATCATGTATATCTTAATCTGAGTACCTTGTGCATGAGGAAGATGTGAGTGAGATGCCAAACGATGTGAGTAGGGTTGATAGCGATGATTTCTCATCCTCCATAATGATAGTTCAGTTGTGTCTATTTGCGGTGGAATCTGAAAGATTGGAGAAATTGTTCAAATATCTAAAAATCCAACGTGACAGAGAATAGCCTAATAAAGTTTTTCATGATAAAATGCATGAAAATCAAATCTATATATTGACCAAATATGAACCTTATAAATGAATATACAGAATACTTGTGACGTCAAAATAGATAGAGAGAGAGAGTGAGTGAAATAGATTTAAAACCTATTTTTCAGGAAACTCGGGACTTTCGAAGACAATACACGATTCCCATATATGCATCATTTAGGAAACTGGTTATTTTCATTATTCAGAAATATTACGTAATACATGAAATTTCATTCAATGTTACATACCTCATACAGTCTTGGGTTCATGTGGCACGCCGCAGCAGCCCCAGGACCGTTGGTAAACTCAGTCTGAAAATTTCTCGGTGGAGAGCAGGTTGCTAAATTTCGTACTGGTGATGCCGACATAACATTTGGGTTTATGAAATGATTTGATGACAAACCTATCGATGTGGGAAGATGTGGACGAGGAAAACAAGTCCTGCATGAACTCGCTGAAAAAATAAATCAGCGATGAAATTTTATTACTGTTGCTGTTGAAAAGTCTAATACACCGACTGTCTTTTGGTGGCATTTGGTCATATATATATTTCTTATATATTTCGTTATGCTGTGTGTGACCACGATCGTATAGTAGGAGTCGGGGATTTGTTTCTACTGCTTTTGGAGTCATAGCAATACCCTATATCCGCGAAATTAGAAAAAAAATCAGTCTCTTAAAGTCGGTAGCCTAATAATGAGAACGCTCGCAAACACCGCAAGAGTCTTGATGCACATGAACACAAATATATTTCTGTAACGTTTCGTCTGACCAAGGTCAGACTCCTTCAGACAAGCATTTTACAACTACGCCTGTACAACTACGCATTTTACAACTACCACCTGCGCAAAGGCACATAGAGCAGTGTGCAGACTCTTGAATTGAATAGAATAGCCTTTTACACTCTTGCTACAGCAGCCTGGCGTAATACGCACACGGATCCATCTGCGCAAAGGCATATAGAGCAAGGAAAGGTAGTTAGTTCTACGAAACCTCAACTGTTAGTTACCAACATTTATGTAGTTAAAATTTATATTATCTTGGAGTCTAGAGCTGAAGTCGTAGTCAATTCCAGTAACAAAAAGACCAAAATGAATAGCTGCCAACACGTTGGAGAATGAAACATTATATGGTCTTTATTATAATTCTCGACATTTCAGTTATTAAACAGAGAAGACTGATTTACCTAACCCCTTCAATTTTATAAACATTGTTAAGAACAGCACTACATCCTTATTAAAGTAAATACAAAAAGAAAAATGTATGTATACCTTCAAGAGCATTACAATTGGCTTCAACATGGCATGGTAACTTTCTTGTTTCGGTTACATCTTTTTCTGGCATATCACGTAATACAGAACCAGACAAACAGAAGTGACCTAGAGTGCAATAATATTATATATATATATATATATATATAGACAATAATGGAACCGCATACGTAAATACACCGCGTTAAGTTGTTGGAAAGAATTATGATTGCAATTTGTATTCTAAAAACAGTAAGATGTTTACAGTTTGGAGATGAAAGTAATAAAAAGTTGCTTATTAGGATGTTTGTTTTCTATACCCAATTTTAGTTGATCACCTTACTTTTATCATACTTGAATTGTAAATCCCGGTCGAAAACGTTGGCCAAATTATAGTTCTGTGATACCCACAGCTTCAGTATTTTAACCGCCCATATATACCTTGTGAAGCGGCAGCCTCTAAAATATATGCCGAGCTTGTTCCAATATACGACGACACTTTATTATTTCCAACGTGACGCTGAGTATCTTGAATCCAAGGCTGATAATCTCGTCTTCCTGTCGATACGTGAAGTAATGGAGATGAAGTTGATGCAGAGAAATGTTCTTGCATTTGACGCATAGCTGTGTATTGGTTTGAGGTAGCTGACATCTAAACATACAAGAAGAAGATTTTATATAAAAGAGCAATAATCACATAATGAAAATTATTTTTGACTGCTCTAAATCCATGGTCAATGAGTTATTAAGATGAGAGAATATCGATGAGCCTACTTTCTTTTTCTGGTAAAACAGATTATCCTACTTGTACTAAAATCGTGAGTTGATTAAGAATCTACCACATTGATCAGCATCCTCCATTTACTTGGTATTTAAAGTTGTATAAATTGGTTAAATTGAAATTGGTTTTATATTGAATATTGGTATCGTAGGTTCACGTGACTGATTGCCTATAATCTAAAGCAGAGGTTTTCAACCTTTTTGGCCGAGCAATTTTCTTTTATTGTCCAAAAGGCATAAACTATAAATATAAATAAAAGCAAACCTATTACTGGCGAAATAAGTGATATTTGAAACGCAGCAAGTTTAATAATAGTGGTAAACCGAATTATTTAAGATATTTGAATATGTTTAAACAATATACCTATATAAATACAGAATTTCAGATTTGACTGTAAACTTGCGGAACCCCTGGACTGTGTTGGCAGAACCCTTATGTTCCGGGGAACCATGGTTTAAAACGGCCCGGATTCCGGAGTCTTTGTATAACGAAGGCTTGGATAATGAGGCCAGAAAAACATAATTTCTATGTTGATATTAAGTGAAATAAGTAAAATCACAAAACTGCGTTTTTGAATCAATTTTTGAAAAGAGATTTCGAATTATGGAGCCCTCTTCCTCAAACCTTCACACCACCATAGCATGCTCTGAGAGTCCAGTGCATATTGAGTTAATCACGTCTGTTTAAACGGGGATACGCGGCCCAAACCAACCAAAAACAGTTTTTGAATTAGTTGAATTTTTTGTACTGAGCAAATACTACGTCATCAATGTCACAATGGCGGCGGCAACATCAAAAACCGAATTGTCGGAGGAAATCACGACCACTGATTGTAGGATAGATATTCGAAGGCGGAGGCCGTGCTAAGAAAATATTTGCTTTCTGCTTATGTCACTTTCAATTCACAAGAGGGAATAGAATAATATAGAAAGCAAACTCACAATTTTGGGGTAAAACAGGTAAAATGATTCACTTATACGAGAAAGCCATATTCACGACAGGCTTGTTTTTTTATATTTTATCGAATTAAAGACATTCCAATAAAATTAGTTCAAATACAATCAGTAATGATGATTAGAAGTTTATTATTCAACTTTGATTCACAAAAATTGATTATGAAAGAATTTTTTTTCATAACAAATTGAAAATATTTTATTTGTTTTAAAACTTCACTGAATTAAACAATTATTATTTTAAGCCAATTTTTGGTCGCCACTGGCCATAAATTTGCCAAAAATGTTTCAATATATCTAAATATGATTTACTTAAAAATAGAGTGTTTATATACAGCTTGTCTATATACTATAGCCGTGTCTAAAGCGTGGAAAACACCTCGTTATTTAATTTTTAATATTAAAGATGCAAGACCCCTTTTATCAGCTCAGCTAATTGAGTTCGATGATAGTTAATAATTTCATGCAAAAAACAAAACGACACGTAAGAGTTGAATATCACTTTCAAGACAATAGAGAATTGTCGTGGCGCCATTTTGAATTCTTAATCTAACATGTTGTTGAATTGGAAAGTTTTTCAAAAACTTTATCGAGCATATACGAGAAATTCTAACATCTATGTTTTATAATTGTTGAGTAAAAGTTTAAATTTATTAAATTAAACAATAAATTAAAAATTTTACCTGTATATCTGGCATGATTCTATGTTGGCATGGTAACAGAGGAGGGTTCAACATATTAATTGTTATTGCTAATAAATTTTATACAGGAATGAGAACAAATAGTTCACAGTGACTAACGATATTGTTTTAGTCTGTAAAAATAAAAATAAATTGAACAAATGTTTTATACACTTATTATCAAATTGAAAATATGAAGTATATTTTGATAACAAAAAAATAACAAAATCCATGACATTTTTAATCATTTCGCGCAAGTATTTGTTCCATATGAGCGACTTAATTTTTTTTTCGTACTTCTAAAAATATTTTTATTTATTTTTCTGCGCATTAAAAACAAAAATATTGATAGCATTATAATTGAGTACCAAAAATGGGGGATCTGTCCAAATAGAAAAAAAAATACAAGAACATACGAAAAGTAAAAATTTGGTGGCTAATATAAACAAACAAATTTCCGGTTTTCACAAAAACAAATTGTGCCTCTAGCCGTATATAATAGAGAATGCTTAATAAATCCTTGTTCAAAAAAGTGAGCAACAACTTCGATGAATGGATTCGGTTGGATTAAAAACCTCTAATCTAATATGAAATCATGAATCTTCGACCTTCAAACTATAACTATACCTCGACATGCAACTTCCAATTTTGCTGTATCAGAATAAACAATTTCTATTTCACTATATCTATACAATTCGTCCGCCATTTTAGATCTGACCTCGTATATTCAGATTTGTGGGATGGGGACAGTCGGTTCGATTATACATATATATATAGAGAGAGAGATGACTTCTTTTTTCTCTCTTTTTTCCACGGCTAGGTATTTTAATCAAGTAATACATGCCTCTGCTTTTTCGTCATTATTCTTACACCTTTTATTTTCTTAAATAAATAATGTAAACACTTTAATCTAATTAACCAAAGTCTCATAGTAAATAAACTATATATCCTTATATATATATATATATATATATCTTTTTCGATATAGATTTTGCTTATCCTTGCCACAAATTTGAATGAAAGAAAATATTAGTTATTCTTGTAAGATACTTTAATGTATACCTATATTTTAGTATCCAATAATTTCTCCTAACCGTGAAAGAATATAGTTCGATAAATTCATTAGACTGTCTGAAATAATATACAATTTAGTTCTATAAATTTATCAACTTTTCCTGCGTTGCTCTGTTGAATGCTCATGAACTTTAAAATTTAAAAGTATGTTTGTTTTGATATTATTTAAAATCATCTACAGCTGTTCCAACTGATGTTTTATATTTTATATGGATTTCAGAAAAAAATTTCATAAGTTACATTTCATACTTCTTCGATCAGTGCTTGATAAAGTATAACCCATGACTATCTTGGTACAACTCTCGACAATGATGTAAGATATAAGACGTATTGTAACAAATCGGGTCTCCCATTGTTCGCCTTTTTGAACCACCGACACGGCATCTCTAACATGAATAGAATAATGTGTCGCTTACACGAGAATCATTTCACGGTTAAGATATTATGTTTAAGAATGGCGAGTGCGACTCATGTAAGCTTTGATGAATTATCTAAACTAAATTTTGAGAACCTAATATTCTTGAGATTTATCATTTGTTGATAATTATTTGGCCCTTTCTGACTGCTGAACACGGGATGGAATGGTCAACAGAGTCCGACTAACGTAGCACGAATTTACATGGATGGTTTTGCTTTTCTCAATGATAAAAACCCACTAGTTAATTCAAGTCATACTCAGATTAGGTACTCACTTGAAACTACGACTCAATGATGATAAAATTTCTACTCATACCCAATAAGGGTACTCATATAAAATTCTTCAATTCACCCCCAAAACCCAACCCGAATACACTTGAATGTCACGTTCCTCAACAATAAAAGTTGTTCATATTTCACTCATACTAAGAGTAGGTATTCTCCTGAAATTATTTAATGAGTACATGAAACGGAGAATATTTTACAGAAAATTGTGTTCGTCTTCTACAATAAAAAATTGCACATTGATTCCCCTTATACTTAGAGAGTATGAATCCACTTGAAAGTATGTAATGAGTCCAATAAATATTTTAAAAGAATGCCTTTGCTTTGTTCAACGATGAAAAATGATAAAATTAAATTTTCAATAAATATTTCAAGCAAAACTATAACTATTCGTAAGTTATATATATTGAGACCTGTGTAATCTATGTACTGGATTTCCCAATTTGAATGTACAATTTTTATGCAACAATTAACACACGCTATTGCTGATAATGAACACTATTCGATTAGTTTTTATAATTTCGATCATTGTTCAGCGCTTCAGATAAATTAGTTCTGGGGTTGGAGCAGGAAAGAGACCACTATGATATAACGTTCAGGGTCTGTATCAAAAAAGTTCAAAAGATCTAATAATTCATCTCAAGGTAGAAGTTTTGTGTGTGAGACCCGATTCATTTCGAACTCGGAAGGCGAGCTAAATTTGGCTCATATATAACCCAATACCCCACTTAAATAATCCAATCAAATTCCTTCTTAAAATACTAAAAACCTAATTCGAAAAATCAGCAGGCTTTCAACCATTATGGAATGGGCAAACATGTCTGTCCACATAGGACCTTACTCACAAAACGCATTAGTGAAAGTACATACTGGTTACTATTGAATGTTAGATTTGGCACAAAAGGCGGGACAAAATAAAGAAAGTGTGTATGTACATTTCTTTGATCATTGCTAGCGATGCGAACAAAATTTCTTGATCTTAACAATCGATTAGGTCCTGTGATCTCAAGCGCTTTCTCTGATCTAACTGACTGTCCTTTTGTCTGTCCAGTAACCAAATACTCTTGATCGGGAAGTCTATCCGTTATAAATTCTCAGTTAGATAGAAGGTTTTTTTTTGTATATTTTACGATTGGATATTTAGTTTTTGTGCGTTTTTTAACATAATATATAATAAGCGAAAAATTATTACTTCAATACGTCTCATCTAGATATAACTTTGCATATGTAGCAAAACTTGATAGGTATGATTCTAGCAATAATGCTCGAAACAAAAATCATCTTTTTCATGAACTTATATTTCAATTAAAATGAAAGAATCATAAAATTTGGTCATTTTCATTTTTCACGAATACTTTACCCCGTTATGTTGTGTGTTTATCTTAAAACACGTCCTACTCTCCACCGTTACCAAATCCTCCTTTGAACTTTATGTGATGTTTGTTCAAGAAAGACTATTTAATAGTTGTTCTTCATACAAAAGCGCACTTTCCCAAAGTATACATGCGGAGATTACGCCTACCCGTGTATCTGGGCACCAAAACCCGCCTGGACCCGCCCTGATTTTGACGTTAATTTAGATAACGTTCATACTAACCCTTTCCAAAATGAAGTAAATTGACTTAATTTTAGTGATGTTGTATATTTTTAAAATAAATTGTTATTCACATTATAAATCATTTTGCACGTTTTTACACAGATTAATAATTCAGTTTTATTGAGTTTTGTTTTAAGCGATATACAAAGCTAGAGGAAAACTCTCAAGTGAAATAACATATGTGACTGAAGGACAAATGTCTGAGCATTGTTCCCATGACTTAATATAAAGTATTTTCGGTGAAAATTTCAATATGGATTCCAGACGCTCTCTTATTGTTAAGTATGGAAAATTTGCAATACATTGTACCAGTGATTGCGAAAAAAATTGATTTTCTACAACAACAAATCAAAGCATTTTAACAACAACAACAACAATGAAGATATACAAATAACACAATCGAATAAAATATCAACTTATATGTAAGTGACATAATTTGTAATGAAAAATTTTATCAGGATAATTTCCATAATACAATCTGAAATTATCAATGTGAATTGACAGTTTTAGGAAAACAACATAATTCTAACTTTGCTAGCATTGTTATCATTGACTCTAATTTCATACTCCATAACAAAATTTTATTTCTGTAGGCGGTAATATTGCCGTGTAAAAACATTTTTTTCTTAATTAAAATGGGAAGTCATGTATTTGTGCCTTGTACTGTTCGTCCTTTTCGCCATTTTGTGAATCGAGAGTAAAAATTCCTCCAGCCTTTCACAATAAAGTAAACATGGTTTCTTTTGGAACCGTTATGTATTTTCCTCGCCGTAAACAGTGGGAACGGGCCTTGTAAACAGATCCATGGAACTGCCTACACGGCGCGAAAAAGCAAGAAGATACGGGAGGCGGGGCGCAAAAATAAACGACAAAAACTTTGCCCGGGGAACATCTGCGATGGGACGCCACTAACAATATGGGAATTTGATTTGACTTCCCATACAAAAAATCCTTTGTTTTAAAACAACGCAGCAAAGATATAACTATGCGCCATACATCGACCTCAATATTAATAAACTTCGTATTTGTATTTTAAACCTGGCCTCTTAGATGACATGAAATTTTTATCCACTAAATCTATTATATACGATTCGTCTTAATTAGCTTTCCGAGATCAGGTATGGATTGTCATCGAAGTCAAATTGCATGGGCAAAATAAAATTTTTAAACCGTCAAAATTATCATTTCCGCAGAATAGATAGTAACTCTATCACTCAGAATCGCAGAATTGCAACAAAAACTTGGATTTTAAAGTGGCGCGAGCTTGTAAAGTCGGATTAGCCGCTAAGTGACCCAATTTAGATATCTTCACTGAACTCTGGCAAATCACTGGATCGCTAAAGAAGTAAGCGGTTGAAAACCCGTATTTACACGCCTGGGGTCACCCACAATGTTGAAATTTTCTCTTGCATTAGCAAAAACTCTTTGCTATCTCTGAGTGTACAACTTAACAAGTGGCATGAGTTGATTTTAGCCGAATAAACAAAAATGAAATTGGAGAGGTTTTTCCATTACCTATTTTTTTATAAAATTTAATTGTATTCCATGTTGTCCTATGTAATACATTAACATAAATTCAAAACATGTTGAAAAACTGGAAAGTGGAATGTTGCAGCAACAAATAAAAATGATTTCAGAATTTTGAAGCGAGTAACAAAGTACAGTAAATCTTGTAGATAAGGGTATTCAATTTTACTTTTGTTGTCGATCCAAACAAATGATAATTTTATCCGTTGGGCAAATCAAAATGGGCGCTTCCGGCTTGTTTTTAGTTAATATTGATGTTCTATAGATGAGAAGTTACGGGGCAACAAACCTATAACAAAATCATAAAGAAATCTTTTAATTAGCTTTATGTAAGATATAAACATCGTCAAATTCCATAGCTATGGGAACTAAGCTTACAAAATGAGAAAGATATGTTGGCAGTTCAGAAACTGATATATTTCCAAATCAAAAATTTCTATTAATTTGGTGTCGAATTAGAGGCGCGTAGTGTCTATACTTTCCACATATGAGATTTCTCGATTGTCTGCGACTATTTTATGGCTAATACCAATATCTAAGCAATGAAAGAAAATCGAGTTATGAAAACATGGGGTTGCCGAACCACGACTTTTTGTTATTTCTGACGTTAAATTACCTTTTAAGAAGTTTTGTCGTGAAGCTTTGATGTCATTGTGAAACCTCTACATAGGAATTGTGTAAACTATCTTTTGATATCACTGATATTGTTAAAGATCAAAGGATTTTATTTCATTTGCCGACCTACCTTACCCCTCCCAGTCTATTTCTATATACACTGTTTTCCGATTTTACGAACACTCGTAGATCAAGTATGATTTATTTATCCGCAGTGCAATCTTTCATCAATTCAACCTTGGTTAGACTCTTATCTTATTTCAGTCGTACCTCACGGACGCAAATTTCCGACATCAAGCAAAAAATTAATTCGGTTGTTGACATTATAGATTGAGAAAATCGTTCATAAAAAATTATTCTAAAACTTTGACGCGAAAAGTGCAAACTGCAAGAAAGTACATTTGTTACTACGTATGCCACATTAACATGAAAACTTTTACATAAATCTAATATTATATTAATACAAAACAAAAAACAAAAACAGGTTCGCTGATATCAGGCTACTTCAAGAACGGGTTCCCATTAAATGCCGCTACTGAGATGTAAAAAATAAAACGTTGAGTGGGAGGTGTAATTAATATAAATCCATTTTTTTTCATAAGTCTTTTTGTAAATTTATAAGACAAATAAAAATTACAGATTATGAAGAAATCATTCCTAAATTATAAGCGTACTATTTCATAATAAGCAACACAATATTATCGTTTACGGTCATGAAAAAAACTTTGAGTTTATAATGAATTTGATTAATGAGCGAAACCTATAGTATCAATCTGAATAATATGTCAGTATAAGTCACCAATTTAGCATAGGTAGAAATAGGAATTGTTTACGTTATTTTGTTGTTTTTATCCGCTAGAAAAATTGGAATCAACTACTCTAATATATCGAATGTCTTTTACACTGGCGACGAATAAATGGAGGAATCATGATTTGTCCGTCTGATTTCGATCTTTCATGTTTCTTCTTTACAACCGCAGTGTTAGAGTGTTTTCCGATTTGACGGTATGGTATCGGGTAGGCAGTGTATCCAAAGAGAGACATTCGTCTGACTGGTTCTTGACTCCTTTCTGCATAATATAGGATCGAACTATTAAAGATTTAGTTTGATATTTTATAAAATTCGTTTTCACGAGCTCACTCAGATGAAAAATGTTTCACATAGAAAATCACGAGGGAGTTAGAGGCGGGCCAATCCCAAATCGTACTGAATTTCATGAAAACCTTTTGATATAAAAGTTTGTAGTCAAAAGGATGAGACCAGTGGTTCAAAACCTTTTCTCAAGCGACCCAAATTTTTGAATAAATTTTGAAAAATCTCACGACCCAAGGACATGCTCAAATACTAAACGGCATGTAGTAATTTTATATAAATAATCGTTTTTACCTAACATTTATTTTCCTAGAAATACCCCAAAATGGGAAGGCAGCGCTTGATCGCCGTCAGCAAGTTTTCAAAATGGTGGTATGGATTTACTTAGAAAAAGGAATGCTGCCAAGTTTTCACGAAATCAATTTCCCAAATATACAAGTACTATTGAGCAACACTTCAATACAAAATATGAAATAAACAATAAAATTTACTAGAAAATAAAATTAGTAACTTTTGTTGAAAAAACAAGCGACGAAGGAAATTTTACAGGCGATTCAGGCTTGGGTCGCGACCCTCAGCTTGCGAAACACTGAACTAGACTAAAAAATTTACATATTTCTTCGTCAGCAATAAAATTACAAAAAAACTCATTACGACAGCCTAACTCACCGTATGGTGACCCATTGTCTGTTGTTGACGATATGCCTGCACCAGGATTCTAAAAAAAATATTGATAAGAAAAATAATTCCATGAAAATTTAGCAATTCTCTTTCTTAAAGAAAAAATATATAGTGATTTTAATTCATTTAAATTGTTAAATTGTTCAAATAATTTTATTAAATGGTTGATGACTGAATTTTCATTTGATTATTCTTATGGGCTAATAAAAATTTACTCGGAGCGTGACAATGCCCCCATGTTGGTGGTTAATGTTTGGTTAATACAAGAACTAAAAACTTCTTATTTTGAGGTACTGAATATACACTTCTGATTTTTATAAATGTCATTAACGAACAAAAGTTATCAAGGTAATATATTTGGTACTCCCGTAGTATGTGTACCAGATTAGGGTTAGGACATAGTTTTATTCCGATTTTTACTTGTTTTAGTTTTATTACGAGTTTGAGTACAGTCTGTGTTAGTCAAGTGAATATACCTCCTGCCCATAGGATTCAGTCATTTTACACAACGTGATGTAAAGTAGGCGAACAAAATTAGTTACCTCCATATTGGTACACATACTTCTGGAGCGCCAAATATTTATTGAACATGACAACGTATATCCAAGATGGAAGGAGGGGTGTAGCATACGTAATGAAACTCAACTTCGCCTCGGAAACAAGGAAGAGAAATAGAAGCACCGATGCTTGCACGTTAGGTGAAATTATTTTGATAAGTCACGTTACAATGAGAGAGTTGGAACGGCAAATTTAGCTTACATTGGTAATTTTATTTTTTTCCTGTATAGTTGTTTCAACCATTTTTCTCTGAATAATACTCAATGCAAGCATACGCTCAATGTAATGGAATGCATCAATAATCGGTATAAAATGAGTTAAATTGAAAGTACCTTGGATCGCCCAGAAATTGTGTTGACTTCCAAGGATACATTTACGCCATCAGCTTTACTTTGTTCTTCAGAATCCGTTATGGGCAAACAAATGATAACTATGATCACTGCAAAACCAACCGCAGATGCCAGTCCAGTCAAATAGAAAGCCGATGAGTAAGTTTCCGTTCGATCGGCCAGCCAACCTAAGAGTAACGTTACAAAAAATAGAATCCATGCATTTTGAGGTCCATGGCTGTATGTAAACATCAATGGAAATTGACAAGGATCAATCAGCGAAATTCAGAGGTACTCTCAATTTCGAAAATCTCGAGGCATTTACTTTTGTAATGCAAATCGCAGAACATTAACAATGCGGTAATGAACAAACTTTTTTACCGTCGTTTTATGATAAGCTCCAAATGCGGGGAAAAAAGAGCCATACGGCGCATGATACATAACCCTCCATACTAACCTGCAGTAGGCGGTGTTAAGAGAACTGACACACTGGTTATTAGTAAAAAGAGTCCAATGCCTTTTGAAAGACATTCAGTTCCTACAATCCCCGCTAAAATTGAGAATGCCAGAGCCAGAATTATTCCTAAAACAGAATCATCGTTTTATGTTCCAGAAAATGACTATAAGAACAAATAAATGTAGAAGGTGAACGTGGATAACGAAGAAAAAAGAGTGAAAACATACGGGAACTAAGGACATGTCTTGAAGAGTATTTTAAAACACTAGTGAATTAAAACGCTCACCTGTACCGAAACCTTGGCCCACTGCATATACAATCAATCCGTTGTATGTCGTCACAACATGACAAAAGAAGCAGTTGACCGAATGAAAGGCAAATGCTGCAGCATCAACATATAATATATTCACATTTGGAAACGCGCTGACCCAACCAGCAAATAAACTAGATAGAAATATAACATATATAGCAATAAATGACGTCCACAAATCAATGGTTACATTTTATATTAACTAAAACCATTTGTAAAATTAAAATTATTGTATAGTTCTATATTTTCATAAACTATCATATTTTATCATGCCATGTAATTTATTCTCGCAAAACGCATTCTCGCAATATTGCAATAAGGGTGACACCCAACGGTCTAGTTAACGTTTCCAGTATAATTATGTTTGCGTCACAAATTATGAAAAGCTTCACACTCCATACCCACCTTGGGTGCCATATATGCGATATATAGATACATTTTGGTCCTTTTTAAAAACGCAATGGTTTCTCACATAATGGATGCTTATGTAGGGTCTCCTCCGGAATGCAAGAGGGGTAAACCTCCCACAAAATTAGAAAAATTTATCCAAGTTACAGCATCATAATATAACAAACCTGCTTGCTATCGAGACTGCTGATGAAATCGAAACTAAAACAGACGAATCCCACAGATTAAATCCAAGAGAAACTGCGTGAGGAACGAGAAATAGTGGCGCTGTAAAAGCCCCAGCACCAATGCATACACCGTTAAAACAGAAGGCAATAAATCTAACATTCTTCAAAAGTCGTAAGATGCTAGACTCGCTGGATATCTGTTGATGTATAAGCAATATATATTTTTCATAAACAATTACAAAGTTTTGTTCGGATTTCTAATTTCTTCATTTTATTAATTTTGTGGGGCTGCTATGAAAAAGCACATATACACGTTTCAATTAATACAGTAATTTAGGTTATGGAAGTTGATTGACAGTTCTCTATCAATTTGCATATTTGTTATTTCCAAGGAAAAGCTCTATGTCGCCAACTAGCGATTATGTCAAATGGCGACCAAGCTATATATTATTATCTTTAAAATTAGCAGTTGCCGAAGGTCGATATTTGATGAATATAAGATTCTTGACTTGCAAAATGTAAATCTAAACACCACGATTTACACAATGAAGGCTTACAAAACGCCTAGAATGCTGTTATGGAATTTGTGGTAATAACATGTCTTTGTTCGCATAGAAAATGCCCCATAATAATACTTCACGTTATACAAAAATGTTACCTCGTCCGATACATCCTGTGAACACGACTCAGGCAAATAGACTATTTCGTCATCATCATCGCATGGTACGAAAGACGGATTCATCATACAGCTGTCGTCTATTGAAGTTTCTTCTTCTAAATAAAAAGGCCACGTTACGGCTCATATGACCAAGATTGACGAAACGCTATAAAAGCTCTATAGCACTCCAATCCGAGTTATTCAAAAACCCTGTTCCTCTATATCGATTATAGATCCCGTTTTTGGATCGGAGAAATTCCGATTTCGATTTCAAATAAAAAATGACTGCGAAAGGGAAAATTATGATTTTCCACTTCGATTCCGGAGAGTTTTAAAATATGGGAATCTGAATCTTCCAAGTTATGTAACATGAGCATCATCAAAAATTAGGTTTTAAGCTTTTTTTGAAAAAAATATGGCACCACCTATGCACCAAATAAAACATATATACCTGGTATAGTCCGAAGCCTATTTTTTTCTCGACTTGTAGAACATTCTTCTTCTTGTTGCTCTTTTTTAGGTTTGTCTAAAAAATAAATCATGAAACTTAAATTAATAGTTTGCTACAAAACACTACACTTATCTATGGAAAAGCTACTTCACGACTAGAACCTTGTGACGCAAAATAAATTATAAAAAATCAAGATAACAACACTTAACTTTCACACATTTATTCTAGATTTTGCCATATGTCTGAAATTTCTCAGTTTTGAGGTTTTATGCCAAACGAAATGTGGAAAAAAAATCATGAAAAAAATAAAATTAAAATTAGAAAGAAATTTATTATAATGGAACTTTTAATGCACCATTATTACAGACAGGTGTATGATAAGAAACCCTTTATACAGACTTTAAGTCGCCATTGGTCTCTCATAACACATACAAATTTGAATACACGTGTACAAATAAAATTACCGGTATTTCACAGTAAAAAAAATATTTCAACCTCTGTAAATAGATTCTAGTATTCATACCTTTGATATTACTTTTCGTTACACATGTTTCCTTTGTCTGAAACAAAAAAAAATCATAAAATCGGTTAACTATCGTCAAGGGTCGAAAGTCTCAAGTTGATTCAGTAATTGAAACACGCATTGATAGAGATCACAGTGTGGTAATTCCTTTGCCTGTCAATTAAGACATAACAATTCGGTTTTGAAGCTTGATCCATAAATATGATTTTTAAGACATAGAATTTAGATCTTAAACCGAAATGAAGGTGTGATATTTTATTATCTATCCGGCGAAAATGACCGGATTCGGCTATTTAAAATAGTCAAAAACCGACTCATGCATTATAGATCTCTCTTTTTTTATATATAAACTAAAATAAATACCTCATCTGGAATGCACTTATCTTCTGGACGCAACATGACCATTCCTGCTGCACATATATGTAATGTTAAGCCAGAAATCATCAAAAACGCTCCTCTCCAACCATACATGTTGTTCAAAATCTAAGTATAAAGATTAGAAGAAATTTTTAAACACAAACATATATATGGACACAATAAATACGCTTTGCTAAACTAAGCAATTGCTAAACATCAAAGTTACAAATTTTGCCAACGATATCGCCGATGAAAAAATTAATCAAATTATGCAGCAAGTTGACTTAGGAGTTTGTATATATTTACCTCAAATAAGGGCGCCAGCACGAATCCCATCATGGGCCCTCCTACGGCAGATAGGCAATAGGCAAATGATGAGTTTCTTCGAAAATATTGTCCTACAGCGGTATTTGCAGATACAAAAGCACAGCCAAAACCAATACCTAAATTTAATTAGATACTTTTATCAGCTAGTTTCGATAATAAATTCTGTTTTATTTTTTCCATGCTAGTCGCTATGGCTATATTTTAATATTATTTATATTCGGCCATTGTGATTTTATTTCAGTTTTTCATGCAACTGTATACAGACAACAGCAACGGTAGTGGGTATAGACTCCTCCTTTCAACGCAGTAGTTTTAAACTTTGTAATAACCGCGGCACGATTTGTAGGTCAGTATTCCACATTGTGGACAATGTGTAAACGTTGTGTAGAATAGATCACAGAAAGTCAGAAAGTAATAAACCGGCCCTGAAAGTAATCTTATTTATATTGCTTTTGTATAATCATTATTTTTATATTGTACGTTTGTATTTTTATCAGTAATATTTTTTCCGCTTCTGTAGTTAATATACACATACATATTTATGCATGCATTATACCCTACTGAAACAAGAAGTAGAGTGCCAGTTTTATCACTAGCTAAAGATTCATTTAGTATTTAATAGCAAACGGCAAACAGCAAACAAAATTAATATTAAGTACAAATCATAACAGTGCATTCTTTCCTTGAATATTCTGATACCTGTTATGACGCCATTCCCGATATAAATGAAGGCGATATGTTTAGAAAAACTGGTAATAACAAATCCTATCGAGGCAAGTAGTCCTCCAATCATTACCACTATCCGACAGCCATATTTTTCACACAATATGCTGCTTACTGGTCCAGAAATATGCAAAACTGCCAAGTTCAAAGAAAGCATCCAAGAAATCTGTAAAATGTACAAAATGTGACAATTTTTGCCCATTCGCGTCAGTATTAATAAATTATATCATCTAATCTAAATCAATCGCCTACATGTGAAATATAGTGTGAAATATGGTGAACAGTCAAGTATGTTATTGACAACTCTACAAGTGCCAAATCTACAGTGTTTAGTTCGGCTTAATATTACTAGAAGGTATTGTCATGATTAAGATTACTGTTTCTGGTTCACCTCGTGAACAATTGCATAAAAAATATAGAAATAAATGGGAATTAAATTCATTCTCGCGTTTTTTCAAATAGAAAAGATGTCTAACAATGCAAATGAAATTTAGTAAATTTATACACACCTGACTACTGGTAGCATGGAACGCGGTCTGCATCTCAAGAAAATAAACTGGCAACGCTCTCATTGTTCCAAAACACAATCCTTCCACCATGAAACAAGCAAACACGACAACCCATCCTCTTGCTCCGTACTCGGAATGGGTGAAAGACAATTTTTTGAACGGCTCGTTCCTTTCTAATGTCGGAGAATGTTCGCTAGAAGTTTGCTATTAAATTTGGAGAGATGCGTGGTTTCAAAAACGATCGTCCGTGAACACAAAAAAAACTAAGAACGACAAAGTGATAAAGACGATAGAAATTTATCTGCCCTTCCTGTTGTTTACCCAAAATTTTATAATTGTGAGGTCAAAAGGGGGTTTATCGCTGAAATTGTCAATTTTGCATCTGGTGGATATTATTGCCCTAGTGTCAATATATCGGTGCATCGTTCTCTTATATTATGTGTTAATATAAACCTAAGAGAAGATCGAAAATCTGAAGGCTTGGACACGCCTATCTTGGAGCCTCAACTTGTGGTTCCACTTTGGTATGCGTTTAATCCCATGAAGATATTCTCATAGAATTCAGTTCCTAACCCTAACCCTGTCATCGTTGAGTTGACTATACCATTGAAACACTCACTAACTTAAAAACATTGAACAGATCTTTGTAATTTTCTTATGATTACAAATTTGGGAAATTGTAATAGTAGCAACCATAACTTACTACATGCTTTCAACTCACAAACACATGAATAAAATCACTTACAAATTTTACATCACTTGATGATACTGTTGGAATGTACTTATCATAACGTTCCCCACGTCCGCCTCCCGTCCTATAATAATATAATGATCATTTTTATAATTAACATTAATTAGTACATAAAAATGTTAGGATTTAGGGACTACTAATTTTAATCAGAAATTCGATCACAAGCAGGGCACCTCCCCATAGTGGCGTACCTATAATTTTGTAGAGGGGGTTACTGAAAAATTGTTACGTCAAAATATGATGTGATATTTTGCATTGCAAACAACGAGAGTAAAATTCATAGTGATGCGACGCGAAGTTTCGTGAAATTTATGATGTCATAATGGAGCCCTTTATATCATTGTAAAATGTTCTATGACGTCATAAATTATTTTAAAAGTTACCATGAAATAAAAAAAAGTTTAGTCACAGGCAAGATACAAACGCTATTTACGCAGGTGTATTGGATAATAATAAGTTGAATTTAAAACAATTCAAGACATAGCCAAAAATTCAACCAGCACGCATATCTTATTGTTGTACACATATCCTGATAACGCAACATGGGCCGTCGAGCTGAAGGCGACGAAGTGTCGAGAAGCTTTGGCAGGGTGCTACATACAAATCACGAAACATTTCAAAACAATACGCTGATGTTGTAACGTCGTCATACCAAGGTCTAATAAGGTCATTACTTATTTCTCAAGTCTTAGTGCCAGTTGAGTTGCCGCCATTTGAGTTTTCGTTGTTCATTCCACTTTTTCCTCTCTCAAGATTTAATGCTGATGTTACTGTGCTTTTCGAAGCTTTCCTTGGAAACGATTCCCAGCTGTCCGGTATGACTTTCTCTGTCGTGATGCCCTTCACCTCATCTTTAATTAAACATTTACTAATATTTGGACTGACCCACTTTCTGCATCTTCAGCTCAACCACGATTCTCAGATATTTTTGTACTTGTCGATATGTATCTTTTGTCGTTGTCTTCTTAAGTCCGTCAGGCCTGTTTTGTTTTAATTGCTTAGCTTCACTGCCTCTGCCATATTTATATTTTGTGAGTCTGGGCTCAGTCTATACTTTTCCTACTCTACTGGTTTCCTTCATTGTAATCTCACTTCCCCATATTAACTGTGGGCCATATTGCCGTCATACTGACACTTGGCCTCTTACAAATTTACTCTGTTTTGCCGCTCCCTCAGACCTTATGACATATACTCTGTTTCCTCGCTTACTCTCTTAGTTTTTCAATTACACTCTTCGTTTGTGTACCTTCTTTCCCTGTTGTGACGTGAGAGCAACGAGGTGAATATATTAATATAAAAATCGGTATATTTTAGTCGATACCGCTAAATTACGGAATCGGCAGAATGACCTATATTGAACCGCTTATTGAATCAAGTATTCAAGATAGGTGAATATTTATTAGTTTTACTGCCTAGTTTTTAGTCAACGATTGGTGGGTACCCATCGGTGGGACTAGTTCCTGGGACTGCATCCCCAGAAGCCACCGCATCAACCTTGCCTTGGTAATGACATAGTATAAACATTAATAAGCTATAAGGGAATAAATTGATAAAATAGGTTTTAAGAGTTGACAATGGCAGGGTCTAGGAAAAAAATTATTATGTAATTCAGTCCTCTCGCTCAAACCCTCTGACGTTTTGAATTCAAAGGTTTCGTTAAGAATCTCACTTTCTTCTGCTTAACGTTATACTGATAAATAGAAATATCATTCAGTTCCTTTCAAATATAAAGGCCTACGATAAAAACAACTATGAGTAGTAAAAATAAATACAATTCTTCGATTCGTGTTGTTTGGATAAACTAACATATTATAATTTTACTGTTTGGCTCAAGATATAAGGGCACTGTTGGGGTACAAACTGCTTAATTAATTCAAAATGTATTTTTTTTTAAATAAAATTAGCAAAGTCATTTATTCAATCGTCTCTGATTCTTTAACCTTTTCATTAGGAACTATTCTGAACAAGACTAATTTACCTGATTAAAAAATAGAATAAATTTCAATTTTAAAAACTTTCAAATTGATAAAATTCTGAAACACGCATTTAAATTAAAAACTGAATGATAGTTGGATTAAATGTCGAGGCTCTATCGTGGATTGAAGGCCCAGGGTTTAGCATGCGCAGCCCGCAGGTGAATCCGGAACTACTCACAAGCAATTATAATTTAATAATATCGTTAATATGATCTAGTAAATTCATAACTACTGCTCTTTGTGTCATAAGTATTATATGAGTACACTATGTTAGTGACTTGATTGAGTAAATCTTGATCAGCTTCAGTCAATTACACATTGGAATCAAGTATCCATGGCGACTAAAAATATCAATAATTAACAAATAAACAAGCAAATTTACTGACCTGTTTCTGTTCGATAGGCTAACAACTCCTACGGATTGAACCATGTTCCCCAACACTCACCCGTCTGTTATGGCTATATGTAATATAAAACACATACTCACGTGAAGTCGTATCTTTTGCGTCGTGCGCGTATTTTCATGTTGGATGGGAGAAGAGTTTCTGGAGTAGTATAACGCTACGTTGATTAGTGTTTAATACAACGAACAGTCCGATCTTGTTCATTTATTTGTATATTTATGGACTTCTTTTTTTAGGCATCGTTAAGATAAAAAAAATCCCACCAAAAAGGAGACGGCTCAATATTTTACCATCATTTTTATCATGGAATACGCATTGTTTTACATGTTCGTTGTACAATACAAATTCGACCCTCGCGTCCTGTCATGCGCAGACGCGAAAAAATTCGTCTGCCACTGACAACTGCCATTTACATTTGTTTGTTACTAATCGATGAATTTGATGAAGCTTGTAATGCAATTAAGCTGGCGGAATCTGAATACAATGATTCGTGGCACCAATGTAACCATAACTCAACCGTCGCTCGTACAAGTCTCAAATACGACGTACAACATTGGTTCCTAACCTGGGGGCCTACAATACTAAACAAAAAAAAATTTTTTCGTTAAAAGTTTTCCCTACTTCCATTACCTGATATATAAGTTTATTTTACAAGGTGTTCTCATCTTTATGGAGCATTGTTCGATCATAATGAGATTTGAAATCAACCAATCAAAATAACAATATAAATACCTCCGTGCTGCGCGAATTGTAACCTTCGTAGCCGGTTGGCGTGCCATCTGACCTGTGGATAACGGTCGAACCTGTATACCTATAACTAAAATTTCACAAAACTACGCGATAGCTGTTGTAAATGTATTTATTGTAGGCGCAAAAAGAGTTATTCAAATCATACTATTCCAAAGAAACGGAAATGGGACGACAATTACGTTGCCTTTGGCTTTGCCAAAGGGAGTCTAGATGGCCTAGCCCTAAAATGTGCGCAATGCTCGTATTTTTGGAATGATAAACACGGTGCCATGAGTGATAAAAGCCTCCAGAAGGGAACCACAAGCCATAAACGCTCGGGAACCACTGATCTACAAGGTTGTAAGCCGAACAGTTGATGAAATAGGTATGAACAACCCGTCAATTTTGTGCAGAATATATTAAAAATCATCGGATATGATTCAAAGGCATTTCGTTATGGTGTTATTACTAGAGATGTATCGGCCATTTTTCGGACTACTGTTATCTTGTCTGTCTTGTAACCTTAAGATGATGATAACATGGTATCTGTATCGGTTTTCAGAAATATTGGTATTGACGTCTTTTCGATACATTGAACAAAAAAATTCAAGTTTTAATTGGGTCCAGTTTATATTTTTGATTTCGTGTCGGACTCAAAATTCAAAAACATAGATCTATGAAAATGGATGGCCAAGCGCCATGATTTCTTTAAATCTTCGTAAAAGAAAGACCACATGCCCTCATTTACTTACATTAAAATTCACTTTCCAATGTAAGTTAAGACAAAACTATAAACAGAAATGACACAGATGTGTGTAACATTTGATATTGTTTTTTTGTTTTGTTATTATTACCAATGTATTTGGTTATATATTTCAAGTAACACACAAATGAATATATGCAACATAGCGAAGTCATGAAAATCAGAAGCAGAGTATTGAATCATAAAGTTTCACAAAATAAAAACTGTAACAACTTATAAAGGTAATACTGTTATGAGTAATTGATATGAACCACTTAGCCTCGACGGCACAATATACTATAGTATAGATAGAGTCTAAGACTGACTGTAGCCGAAAACCCGGAAATTCATTTAAAAGATAACTGTGTTGATTGTCGGAGACATTGATTGAACTATTTCGGATCTGTATTAAAGCAGTGTTATTTACCTGGATTTGAAATTATAGACTTCGTTAACTTAAGTCAAACTTGAACAGAGGTGGGATTTAGTAAGTTAGCTTTAACATTATATTGCAGGTCTTAGCCTACATGCAGTAGTTCTCTCGATTTCGACTTATAGCCACCCTTGGTCCAGCTCCAAGTAGTCGTCGTACACCGAAATCTCTCTTTGAATCTTAATGACGTTACATTCGTTTGAAGTTAGCCATGCTTTCAATTCATCGCATTTGCCTTTTGCGTGTGCTTTGTCACCATCATACAACCTTAACGTGACGATTCGGTAAATCCCACCATCATTGGCCTTTTCGCGCAAAGCTGATTTTGACATCCTCGCATTTTTCTTCCACTGATCGGCGTTTAGAATCTTGGAGTGCAAATTCTCTCCCTCCTCTCTATTCGCCAGGTGAAGTTTATAATGAAACTCCCAATACTCTCCTTTCGACTTCGACGGCACAAAATCATCTGGGGCGTACGACAATGGCTGCTCAATTTTCTCTCGAATCGGCGTGAAGTTATTTTCTCTCGCTGCCTTGGAGAACTCGCTGGCCGCCTGCAATAAACATACATATAGATATGAAACGCTGAACTGAATTCTTTTGGCACTCCCAAGCATAGGTGTATCATTTATATTTTGGAACCTTCGGCAAGAAAATAACTTCATAATGACGGAATTGCATTAGTGGTGCAGTCACGACAGCGAAAACACTACAAAAAAGAATGGACAGTACCTTAAAGAATTTTCAATATCTTTTTAACTGGGATAAATAAAAATAGGGGACAGGCCAGTGTTTAGGGCATTTTGCCGAAATAGAAAGTATTTCGTGTATTTTCTCTACAGTTTGATCTGCCTACTGATGCGCTATCGTATTTGCCAACATTAAGTGGTCGTGGAAAACTTGCTAGATTTGCATCTATAAGGTTCAATTTGGGAACTACTTACCTATACTAATCACAGTTCTGAATGGGAAGTTGAAGGTGATCAAGGAACATGTCCCTTTTATCAAGTCGATCATGAAGAAACTCGCAATTTAGCACAAAACTTCTCCCAGACTCAATCATACTAACATGGGTTTATTTGTGCTATAATTCGATTAAACTACATTTTTGACTACAGCTAGGCAAGACCTGTAACAAAATACTATCCAACTCCAATTTGAAGGATCCTATCCAAATCTTACAGCTAAGCAAGGCAGGGTGCACTTGATTAAAAATTTGAAGTTTCGTGATTTTAAAAATGTTTTAAAATTGCTATTTAAAACGATTTATTTAGTTTCGAATCAAAGAATTATAAAATAATTTATGGGTTGATTTTGGCCCTGCTATTCGAAATTTGTTTAATTCAAAGTTCGTTTTTGCTACAATCGATTTACTCCTTGTTCGAAGAAGGCCCTAGCAATTAACCATCGGTACTCTGGAGACACAATGGTTCAAAAAAAATTTTTTATTTTTGTCTGGCGTTGCTTACACAATATTTTTACTTCACTCTGGATCGGGTCAGATGGTGGATATGGAGCCTAATGCGGGATTTTGATATACTGTATATGTTTTTCTTATTGCATTACGTTTTTTACGATTTAAATAGTGCCCAGTGTGTTTGTGAGATAAAGCTATTATTGCAATCCAGTGATGCCTCATTTTGTTCACAACTATAGAACTGAATATATTAATCTTAGTTATTGAGAATTGAAGTTTCGTATTTTTCTCTTAAACTTTCGTTTTTACTGTATTCAAGATTGCTGCATGAAGCCATATTTTATCATTAAAGAGATTTTGCAAGCTTAAGCTATTTTTAAAGCAATCTTAAAAAGCGCAATAATTTGCCAACAAATTTAGATCATTTATGTTTTGGGTAAAATGCTTTATAATTAACTCAAGTAGGCAGGCGATTTATTTTAGAAACATTTTTAAAACTGTATCGCTTTAGTCGATACAATATGCACAACAAACACACAACCTTCTCAAAATTCGGATATTTAGTATTAGATAGAACTGATATTGTTCCAGAAAATATGAAGCAGATGATATGTGATGATTTGCTTTCAAATTATTAGTAGATAAAGAAGAAGCGTATTTACAGAAGGTCACCCATTCAATATATAATGATGTTTCAAATTTCTCTTGAAAACCCCCGTCCCGATTTTTAGGCAACTCTCGCGTTTGCTAAAAATAAGAAAATTGCGTCACTTCGCTGGTTCAGGTTTTCCAGTCTCATTGCGTGGATAAAGAATTCAGTAATTTTAAGCGAGCTTGTGCTTAACGACCAGCGTTCGTTCACGATTCCTTTTTTACTAATTTTCTATAGTTTGTAAAGAGTGGTTAAATTATAAGACCATGCTATACTTTAAAAACATTTTATAAATGAACCTCATTCTGCAATACATTGGTGCCGCATATTTAACACGAGATTTCATATCAAACACTTTCGGTTAGAAGCACTTGAAAATAAACCATAATCTTAAGTTATTTTTCGTATTCAACGTTTGCTCAGTCGGAAAAGTACAACTCATTTCAATTTTGTCCAGTGACATAATTACTAGATAAATATTTATATAACAAATGTATGCATGTTTCATAGCCTCAAAAATGTAAAAGTATATTGGCCTAAGAAGACACAGTTGTGCGACTCGTACCCTTAACAGGAGTAACAGTTTAGGACTACTGCGCATTGGACCTTTTAGCTAGAATCGACTTCCTTGTTTACTTCGTGACATTGGCCAATTAACAGAATGCAAAAGTGACATAACAATGCTCCCTTTTCGCATCCGCTCAGACATTTTTCTCACTCAGACAGATTTTCAAGCGTGGTCGTAAACATTACTATATTCGTTAGTTTTCAGTTGTGTATCGGAAACTTAAATATAAATCAGATAATGCAATGGTCTTCCTAGGAGGTCTAATTTAATTGCAGTGATAAAAAAAAATTAGTGTAGAAATATCTGCGATAGACTAGGCTAAAATTCTTTACCGGTACTTTTAAAGAACAGATTGTTGTATGCGATGAATCATAATGATGGTTTGAAACACAAACCCCATTTTACAAGCGCCAACTCGCAAAAGCTCTCTTAAAATAGCCCTGAAAATTTTGCAATGGTAAAGTATAGGAAGAATTTTTCAGGGGTCAAAGGTCGGGGAAAGGTCCATAGTTGGACAGCGAATAGAAAATAGACAAATAAAAGCTTAGTACAATACACAAGACAGAGAGATACGACACAACGAAAATATGTATGAAAGTAAGTTTGAGCGCCAATAATTCCAAATTCTAACAATGGCGACATAGGGTTTTGCATTGGGTCTACAATGCCCTCATTTGACACAACAATCCGCTTAATACGGTGACCGTACATTTGAACCCATGTACATTTGAACCCATGCGTATATCCACGGGTTCGATCTATATGCGAGTACTAAAACCCATGGGTTAGGGTTAGTATGGGTTTAACTATCCGTGAAACAAAAAAAAATTTCATAGGTGCAATAGCATACAGGTGAAATTGTCATGGGTTCAAATGTACGTCGGTTCAAATGTAATGGAACCCGTTTAATACACACAGCGGGTATGAGAAGAATCATAGAGTAAAATGCAAGTGCCCAGCTTGAAATAATACTACGATGAAATAAACACCAAATCGACCAAAAACAAATCATAATTTGATGTTTCTAAAACCATTATAAATAATTATCCCAGTCCAGGAAGATGATTGATAGGATACAAAAATAGAAAATAGTACTTATTTACTTTGAGTGCATCGTTGAATTCTCCTGTCACCCATTTACTACACATTAACTGCTCATAATGTTTAGCAGTTTTCGGCAATTCAATTAAAATGGGGTGCGCTTTTTGCTCCCGACAAAGTCTGGCAAATGTCGCCTCGTCTGCGTTTTCTACGGTAACATGTATTTCGAACATGGTGGCTTGGGATCTGTAATCTGCATAGATAGTTGTGTCAGAGAAACCTTTTATAATTCCCGGCAGACTTATTCTCGAAGTTTCAACTGTCGAGCGGCTTATGTAACGTGGCGTACGCTGACACTCGGTACAGTTCCTAGAACGTCATTGGTTAATTTAATATGTAAGAGGCAATTCGCCATAGTGGCGCAATACTGCGACTCAATTCGAGAGAAATAGAGAGAGAGAAAGTCGCATCGTTCGACGGAAATTGTAAGTACAACTATGGTCGATCGACGACAAACTTGACCAGAGGAGATGCCGTATAGATATTTGTGGTTCGCTTTTCAGGCAAGCAATATATTTCAGGTTTTTTTAGACGCTGTGTACTGCCAAATCAGATAGAGGCGACACAGTCTTTAGATTAAGCCCAATCAATTTATATCTAATTTTATTTTATTTTTTTTAATTTGATCCCTCGATTTGAGTTTGACATGTGACATTGAATATGAATCTAATCTTTGTAATCATAGACATGATAGCTGGACGATACAGTAAATTCGGTGTTTTCATTTTTTGTGTGATCTACACACATTTTTTAAAATAACAGTGTGCCTCAATTGTTTTAACCCTTGAATGTTTTCCCCTATTTATGTTTTTTGACAAATTATATCATATTCATCATCATCTCCCGATTATTCAAAACTCTACGCTGTCGTTAAACTTCTAAAAGGCTCAAGATTCTTAATGTGTCCATTTTTTTTTTCTGTATTTTGACTCGTTTCAAATCTAGGTGTCGCAGACTCATGACGACCAGTTCTGGTCCTTCGCGACTACCTGTCAATTGCAATGAAATCCCGTTTGCCTGATGTATGATAATTGTGTTTAAATTATTTATGATTTCTTCGATAACGGAATAAAGTTATTGTCTATTGTCCTCTTCCCACATGACTCTTACACCCTATCCAAAAACAAAAAGAATTCAGATTGCACCAGAACACTAATAATATACCATTACCACCATGTTCGCCTAACCTATACAGTAACCAATGGATAAACTTTGTTGGTATTGCCGCTACATTTTGATACAAATATTGAAGGGATTATATATTCAATTCAGTATCTGATTTAGTAGACTATCGAGCGCGGCACGGGATCAAATCTTAATTGTCCGGTCATAACAACACATATTGTTTTGATCGATTCATTTTCTTCCAATTCAAAGAAACCGATTTACCACTATAACGAATATGTTGACGCGAATTACAATCAAATTTTATAGGAATGTCCCTAACAGTCATGGTAGCAACAATTTTAGCCTATTTCTTATATTGTGGGTCAGATATATCCTGAAATTCCTCATTGGTGCTTTGCCACATCCGCGGTTAAAATGTTTGCCACAGTAATCTCTTGAGAATGTATATAAAAAAATGATAGATGAGGCCCTGTTTCTCTGTTTGTAATCCACAATATGCGAAGCCTTTCTCCAGGTTCATCTACACACTACGGATGCAGATCTATCATTTTAATGACAGCATGGGAATACAAAGTTGGGAGAAGCGTTTAGATCCAGGAGAAAATCGAATTAAAATCCGGAAAATTGAAAAGCGAGCCTAACTTTTACATTCTGACTGCACCGACTTCGGATTGCGACCACCGGTTTAAAAAACAATTTAAATCTTGAACACGAAAACTTTGACGTTTCCTACTCCAGTACCAATTCCTATTCCTAAACCAAGATTATGACGAACTATAATAATTTGGCTATTTCAGCATTATTCCAAAATGTGAAGAATGGTTTTCTAAATAATCATCGAATCGCACATTTTATTTTTATATGTTCTATAACACGCAATGAAAATACTTCCTTAAATAATATAAAATTAACTTCCTTTTGTCTCAGAATGATGTAATAGGGTGAAAATGTTGGAGATGTTGTAATAACAAATTTCGACACCAAGCGTGATAAAATACTCATTTTTGGCACATTTAGAAGGTTTTTCCACTTAAAACAGATCATTCTCGCTCGATCTAAAATCACATCTCAGAGAAAACGAAGAGCCCTTGATTGGTTAAGACGGTCGTTTATCTAGTAAATATAACAAATAAAGAGAAAGATTTCGGCCGCGCACGTGCGGATAGTAGATTCTGGAGGTATGCCGTCTGTCCATATGGAAATTTCAATGTAATTCAGATAATTTATATAATTTTGTTTTATATCTCTGATTCTAGCTGTTTCGAAGAGATTTTAGAATAATCTTAGGTGTCATACAAAATTAGAAGGCAAGTCCAATGCAGTAGCGAAATTTAGCTAATTAGTCAACAGCAACAACTCGTTTTAACATTTTATCGGCCCTGGAATCTACCTGAACCAGATCTATGTATAAATCCGGTTTGGACATTTGATTACTGCATGGTTAGCATCAATTTTGATTCAAACTCTGACCTCTGACCGTTTGAGTTTCAACTGCTACGTAGCCTATCAATCCACACAAAAATGAATATATATGGAAAATTTTTTTCATATTTAATGTAATCAAGAGTCCCCAACCTTATCAAGAAGAAAAACGGCTTACTCAAGGTTTTCGGGTTAGGTTAAGTTGGGCATTGGAATCAATAAATAATCAATTTATAGCCAATATACGTTTGAATTGTAATGGCAGATGGGAGCGGCCAGGTCCTTAGCTTGATCCCTATCACCCTCTCTCTCTGAGGTTGCCTTATCCTCACTCCCAACAACAAACAGAGTGAAACCGGACAACACCAGCACAAGTTTTGTTTCGGGGCTGCGACTTGAGTGACGCATTTGCACCAGATTTACAACTATTAATATTATTTTTGCCAGCGAAATTCAATCAACTTGATATGAATGTACCTACAAATTCACTGTCAACCAGTGCGCCTATGTTTAATTTTTTGTCGCATACTGCTGGGACTAAAGCTAAGCGCCCCGGCCAACGCCTTTCGCTATAATTTGCTTTAAAACATTCTCAAAGAGTCAACCTAGCAATTTCAAACCGAAAGAAAGAATCGCCATTCTTTGACGCTGGAACCCAAAACGCGCAAAAAATCGTCATAAACCACTAGAAAGCTTGCCAGACTCATTGTATAAGATAATTCAGTGGCTTCAGCTTTTAAACATTTACTTACTTTCACATCTATAATTTTCTAATGCTTCAAACAAATAATAAAATCTATACTTTCAGCATATAATTTTGCTCTTAAACAAAATTTTTGGTAATACTTGTATATTAAAGTTATGGTTTAAAAATCTTAAACCTTGCAATAAATCATTGTTTTGAGTTCTGCTTCCACAAACTTGCATTAGGGCTGATGTTTCGTAGTATTGGCCATACAAAAACCTTAATGGCCACAAAGCTGAATCTCAATTCCGAGATAAGAAATACCGCTCCGGAGACATGACGGAGACGGAGACAACACTGGACTAAACCTATTCAAATTTCGTAAACAGATAAACCTGATAGATTCAAGAATTTTATTTATAATATATTTTCAAGGGAAGAAAACATAAGAAAGAAAAACATTAAGGGCGGAAGAACAGTTTTCACTCCATCAACCTTAGCATAATGAATCAACTGTGCAGTACAAATTGAAATTCACAGCCGACATAGAATGTGTATATTCTCTCAATAGAGAGATATTTGTGGCCCAATGCAAATAGCGAAAGTGCATTATTTTCCAAATGAAACAATATAGAGGGATTTGTCAGAAATTTCCATACTTCGCAAACATACACAGTAATTTAATTCCTCCAAATACAAGGTTTTAAGCATCTTGGATTTCAAATGTTACCCAAAACAACTTTAGATTTCAAATTGAAGCATATATGAAACTGCTTATCTGTAAACAGTTATTTCAAAAATCTGAACTTTATTTAAAAAACATGGCTAAAAAAACAGCCAAATTGATTCTTTATTTTTACACAAGGGAGGCAATTCGAGATGTAAAGTTTTTGACGACATACAAAGATATTCTTCATTCTTGTTTTTTTGATATTTTCACAGTTCAACATTCATTCGGGAGTAGTAATCATACACGAAAAAAACACAGTACCACCCCACTAACTTTTTGATGAGAAAATAATTCAATTCAGAATTTTGACAACAGTGATATATAATCATCATGAAATCTTGCTTTAAAATTATGATTCATAACTTTTTGTCAATCGGCCCAAAGTTTGAATTGGGAGCAATTATTAGAATGGCTCGTGGGAATTAAGAATCGAATGAGAATTCAAACACGGCTCTGAAATACAACAGAAAAATTTAATTTTTGAATCTCTCATATTTTACCAATAATATATGTAGATGTTACACGCCAGTGGAAGACGCAGTTGGTTGCATTTGTGTCGAAATTATATAAAGGAAGACGACTTGTTAAATAAAAATCCTCTGCATATCTTTCTGTTAAGCATGGCACTTGGATAAATCACACATATGGGACATCCTCAACATGTTTGATCGAAGATGAGTTGGAAGCTCGAATGGTAGGACTTTAGTTTATTCAACTAACAATTAATATAGTTTATTCAACTAACAATTTATATATTTAAACAGAGGTAGAGGATTGTTGAATATCTTTAAAATCTTAAAACCAATAGCAGGGCTTGCAAACATAAAGCACAAGACTAATAATAATTCAACGGAAGCTGTACCAGTCATTTCAATTTTGTACCATAACATCAAATTAATTAAGATTGACACATTGTCATAGGAAAATAGAAAACAAAATAGCAAAGGTTGTTGTTGTTGTTACGCCAATGTACACATCTAAAATTGATATTAATTAACAATTCGGTTAAATTTCCCAAAACCCCTATTTATTACCGCCACCTCCCCAAAGACGTAACATATTTGGCAGGCTTTTTGACGAACTGACCATTTTACAACAAGGAAGCAAGCTTACTGGTACTTAGAGATGGCGGCTGGTTTGGATCATTCACATAAAAAGCTTTAAAAAAAATTCTACTGTCATTATTATCTTATACGTTAGTAGTTAGTACGTTTTCACTTCAACTCAAATAAGGATCTTCATAAGACATATACTGTGAGAGATGCTTAATATGAACTTGAATCAGTTAGCATAGCATGGTAGGGGCAGTGTTACACCAGGCATCTCTAATAAGAAAGTCAATCAATTTCCCGGAAAATGAAGCATATATAACCAAAGTATAACATGACTTGACCAGTTTACTGACCCTAATTTATGCTGAATATTTTTCGGCATAGAAAGCTGTACTATTGGTGCTGCATGTTTTGAATAGGTAATTTTTTGAGAATTATCACACATATTATTTCAGCACAAAAATTAAAGATTACACACATTTCCACCATGGAACTGAGAATGTAATTATAGTTACCCTATTTATAAATATCAAATAACATACATACCTCTGGCAATCTTAGGTGAACAATTTAACTATCACCCTTGTTTGGACGAGTATAATCCTATGCTAGCACCCCAACCCCTAGTATTAAGATAGAAAACAAGACAGTGGCGACATTTCAAGCTAAAATGGACATTTACAAGCGAAATACAAATATAATCACAATCAATCAGACATGAAATTGAACAATAAAGCAATTACATTTAATCAAAAGACAAAAATTTATTTCTTTTTCATCGAACGAGCATGGTCAAGTGTTAACAATCTAGCATGGAACATAAGCTTGAAATAAATAGATGAATTTGAATTTTACCACCGTGAAATCTTGAAAAATATTATTTGAAAGTTTTGCAAGGCACCCGGGCTCAAACCCCATCACTCACGACTCGAGTCACTCCTCACAATTACTAAACATACTTGAATCCTTAAATAATGTAACTCAAGTCGAGTCTTGCTTAGATCAAAGCACATTCAAAATATGCTATTGAAAAAAATTTACAAAATCAGATGTTTATGTTTGGGAATCCTTGTTAATGTCAACTTTGTTTGTCAACAGAAAATCGACACACATTATTTTATTAATAAATAATTGAATTCATTTGAAATATTCACAAAAGCGAAGCCTGTTACATGAAAGAACACTGGAGTAATAAACTATTTGGTTAGGTATATACCTAGTCATGACTTAACTCAACTTCAACTAAAAAATTAAAATGGTAAATCGAAAATTTGGAAGAAATAAAATCTTGATATACAAGATGTCTAGAACAATGAATAGAAGATGCAAAGATAGGATTTCTATTCAATATATATAGAACAATTATAGATAATTTGATAATTCATATATAGATAGTTATATTTATAATAGAATTACTTAAAATGGAAACTCTCTCTTAATTATAAGTACAAGAGCGGGTTTCACAGTGCAAATTTGAGAAACAAAAAAATTGGTGAACAAATGAAAAAAAAAATGTGGAAAAAAGAGAAATATCAACAAAAATAGAAAAAAGAATATGTAAAATGAAGCAGTGGGAAAATAATAAAATATTTCGAACAAAAAAATCCCCTTCCCAGTAGATTTAATAAGTTATCAGCTCCTTGGCTCGGCTTGTGGTCGCGGACCTAAAAGAAAATAAGTCATCATTTCACCTTTTCCTTTCACTTTAATTTTACCCCTGAGTTCTAAATCGAATCCCTTTTTCTTCAACAAACCGGCCATTTCTTCGGAAACCTGAGAAATAAATAATCATTATTTAATTAATTAATTGAAATTAAAAAGTATGATGTTGTGATATCCCATGTTATGTTTCTATTAATTTTGGAGTTGAAGTTCATTTTAAACTCCTTCTTTGGTATCTTGAATTCTCCGAGTTAGGATTTCCAATGACAGGTGTTTTTAGAAATGAGCAGAATATTCGACAGAAACTCCAAAATCACCAAGCTGACTCGAACATTCTTAACATACAATTGTAGGAAATCGTGTACACGCAGAACTTTAAAATTTAGTCTGCTCAGAGTGCAAAGTTGAGCCTGATTTATCCCCTGGGGTCAGTCAAATAATTTTTTTTCATTCTAGAGTAATGAGTCCTTTTTAATAAGTTTGTAGTTGTGAATCTTTTATTGATAGAGGAAAACAATACCTGAATTTTCCCTGGAACTCCTGTACTATCCATTCTACTAGCAACGTTCACTGTATTTCCCCAAATATCATATTGAGGTTTACGAGCTCCGATTACCCCTGCTACCACAGGCCCAATGTTCAAACCTAAATATAAACAAAAAACAATTTTTCAAAATGATCGTGAAAAATACCACATTACCTCTAAAGATAATTCTAACGAAGTCTTCACAAGTAGAATCAGTATGGGACCCCGAATGGCCTAAACCTAATAATGAACTACATTGAATATTTTCTGAAATATACAATTTTCAAATATGGGATATCAATTTTTAGGTTGTCTTTTTAGTTTTTACCATTTAAAATCTCTTAATCATTTGACTTTGCATTAAATTTACACCTTGTATTCTAAATAGAATTGTGTTCAATAGATGAATAGAAACAAAGTATATAAGTTACATATGAAAAATTTCAATAATTTGCAGACGTTGAGAAAAAACGCTTTTTCTCCGCAACTAATGGACTGATTGATTACAAATTGTCAGTACTCAAAAGGGAAAATAGATGAATATTAATTTTTTTTCAAATTACCTAAGTCCTAATCCAAAGGGATCTGAATATTTCACCCAAAATTTTCTGTTTTATTTTTTATGACAACACTTTTCGTCACTCGATATTTTCAGCAAACTCAGCTGAGGTATTACCTATTGGTATCAATGTTCCACCATTTCTATATATTTCAGCATTTCCTTCCTGATTTTACAGTAATAATAAAGATCGGCTCAAATCCTATTATGAAAAATATACACATTACCTATTCTCAATGTGAAATTGTTAAATGAATGTTCGTTCACATAATCGAGTTGATCTTGAAGTCTCATAGCATATGTGCAAAGTGCGGATATGTGGGTCGAATCTTTGGCATCGTAAGTTTTAGCGTTCAAACCAGATGCCGCCATATATGTGCTGCCAGTCGTCTTAATTTTTTCAAGCTGATGAAATTCGTCTTCTCCTATTATCTGTAGCACACAAAAAATAGGAAAATAGAGTAAAATGATTTTTATATTTATTTTAAATAATAATTATGTCTATAACATAAAAAAAACAATTGCTTTTCCCACAAGTACCAGTCCACGTCGGATAAAAATATGAAAATCGGTTAATGATTCCAGATGCCTAAGTAATCACCCTTGATGATAAGTATAGCAATCCTCTTGCAGATACTTTTCTCAAAAAGTATTGAAAACTAAAGTTCTGTGATGATGAAAATCCCTGACTATTGCAAAATAACCTAGAATTTTGACTATTTATGACAGCGATTTTTCATTCAAAATATAGCCTACAAACAGACAATGATAGTCGAAGTTACAGATACTTACGATTAAAAAATTTTACGACTAAAATAATTAACTCACACTGTCAAAATCTGCAATTATTTCATTGAGTAATCTCAGGCATTCAACACCTTCATTGTTTGCTTCAAGTTCGATGTAAAAGTCTGAGAAATTAGTGATAGTTGCAAACATCACAGCCACGCATTCACAAGACTGACAATACAGTTCTTCATTTGATCTAAAAAAAAATCAGAATCTTTGCAAAGTTATTATTAAATTGGATTGATCAAAGTCATATCCACGCCTATAAAATAGGGCAACACTTTTCTGATTGATGCTACAGATTTGGTGATAGTGCACAGCTACTCAACTATTTCTACCAAAGATCCGTATACAAAACTTCAAAATTACCTGGGTTCGGTCTTTCCAGAAATTATATTGCGCTATCCACGTACATCCTCGGCCGGCTAGCTATTATACGCTAAGACAGTGCTATTCACATTGTTTATTATGGTGTTACAGTTCTTATCATATATACTCAAATATGAGTAGATGATAAAACAACCATCAAAACTATAAAAGTCATTTAAAGTGGTCCAAATCAAATACTCGAAAGGTCCAGATTCGGACAACGGTCAGCCAAATAGGTGGCCCTGGCCTAGTGGATAAAGTGTTAGGCTTAACTTACCTAAGATGGTTACCCCTTCGAACCGTAAAAATTACGATTCTTACAAAAATAAAGTAGCACTTTACATACCAGTGGCTTTGGTGCAGAGACTTATTCAGAGCGCAAGCGTACAAATACATATGATGAAATTTTCGGTGTTCGGTTTTCTTATGTCAAGTTTACAAACTTTTTTATATTCTTTTCCAATTGGGAATATTAGCTTTTTTCAACATACATGGTTGAAAGACATTAAACTACCTGTAGTCTTAATCATAAACTCAATTTTCTTACCTTTCTTTTTCCAAGAAATACTGTGCAACGTCCATTGGTAATATGTTATGAAGTAATTTATGATTGTACGCTTGAAAACGTCTTGTATCTTCTCTCTCTTCAGCAGCCTGGATTAAAATAATAGCATTTATTATTCAACTTAGTAACAAAAACAGACACAAAAGTGAACAAGATGTTTACAAAACTGCTCGACATCACAAATAGCTCACATAACCACTGTACAGTTATGAGCCACTTCGCCACCAAAGTCCAAGCATATGGAACAATTAAATGTGGTTAACAAGCCTATACCAGATCAAGATTACAGGGCCACAACCAATGAAAAGCAAGAATTATTGGCTTTCTTCCCCCCCAGGGATAATCCTATCCAATAAAAAGGATTGCTCAAATTTAATAAATTTCACTATCAGGCTGATAATGATAATGCAGGAAACAAAGTCAACTCAAACTTAAAAAAGTTTAATATTCTAAATACAGTCAAGAATGAAGCGTTTTCCACATTATTCTTCTGAACGAGGATTTATACACGAACCCTTCTATAAGTAGAGGGCAACTATTCTTTGCAACTGGGGTGGGCAAATTATGACCCGTGGCCCATCGAAGTGTTTTATCTGGCCCACTTGTGTCTGATGAAATTATGTCTATAGTTTTTATTGAGATAAATTTCTGTTGGAAATATCGATGAAAATAACGTCTTAACGACCCCAATTGTTTCATTTAACTTCTTATTATTATATAAATGTTAGCTTAGCTGTTGCAAACTTTTTTCATTCAGAGTTTTTCATATTGGGTTTTGGGGCGGAGGCGTCATTGTGGGTTCAGGTTAAAATCTCATGCCCACCATTCCAGATTGACATAATACATAAAAAAAATACAACAATGCCGATCAGACCTGACGGTTCCAAAGAAAATCCATACGAGCCGTAGATTCAACTTGTTGACCATGAAGAAAAAGTGAAACGAAAAATAAAAATAAAATAGCTGGCGTCGCGTATTGAAGAGGTACAGCCCAAACTTCAGAACCTCTGTAAGAAATATGCAATGAATAAATTGATTGTAAAAAAAAAATAGAAAGAATGTCTTGCGGCCTTCAATTATGAACAGCATTTATATTGACACCATATGTAAATCACTGACCACAAAAGCACACAAATATGTTCCATAATATTTGCTTGACAACTATCCATCTCAGTGTACATATGAGAATCGAATAAATACTTACTCTATCGTAGAATGTAACAATATATCTGCGTTTTCATACATTGTCGGATAGACAAATTCCACTAACAATGTGTAAAGAAGAACTTGCATCAACATCGTAATCAACTTCAATAGACAAGGAAGACTCAAAAACACAGCACAAGTCAACATGGACAGAAGAACACAATACGTGAAATACTGAAAAAGAAAAACCATAGTTAATTAGTCAGTTAATCATAAACTGACTTTAATCAAAGTTATATCTAATGCAGTGTATGTAAATGGAAAAAAGGCTAAATACAGCATTATAAAGGGTACTCCCGTAGTATGTGTACCAGGTTAGGGTATGATTTTATTATGATTTTCCCTATTTTAGTTCTATTACGAGTTCGGGGACTGTCTGTGTTAGTCAAGTGAATATATTCCCTGCCCCTAGGCTTCCGTCACTTTACGCAACTTGATGTAAAGTAGGCGAACAAAATTAGTTACCTCCATATTGGCATACATACTTCTGGAGCCCCTCATAAAGACATATTCAATCAAAATTTTTGAAATCGAATTACCAGGGTAGAAAAAAAAAACTATAATTCTACTTTGTATTCAATTATCCGCAATATTGTACTAACCTGTGGAAAAAATGTTACAATAGCACTTTCGCCACAAACATTGACCTGGTTATCAAGTATTGTGATATTGAGAGTATTTGTAACATTATGTGCTGTAAGATAATTCGAACTTGTATTCATCAATTCTGCAGTACATTCTAGCAAATCTGGTGAAGACAGGAAAAGCTAGAAAATTGTAAAAATAAGAAACTTTGAAAAAAAAAAATTCATTCAACAAAGGCACATAGCTAACTTTCGAACATGTTCACATAGGATAGGATAATACCACTGTCAGGTAGCAGGTGCGGGAATTGTTAACCAGTTATTTGTTCCTAGACGCATGGACTTGGAGGAAGCTGTAACCGACCAGCGATTATGCGAACCACCCTACAACGGCGAGGAATACCACAATCCTCTCATACATATTCATCCTTCAAGGAATTCAAACCTACAAATGATCCAGCATCTCCAATTCAAGTTAGTTCAGCCAAAAGGCAATCCTGACACAGACAGCTAGCTCATCACCAAGTGAAGAAGTTATTGTTATGAATAGTTTGAATTAAATGATGCTTACCATATTCCCGAATGCCATTATAGTTGTTAGAAAAACGATAAACAAAGCAATAGCCGATGGAAGACGTGGGTGAGGTTTACAAGTGGACAATGTAGATGCCAGAATAACCTTTTCTGATTTTTTCTAAATAGTAAAAATTTCAATTTCAAAAATTTTAAAAGAAATATATCAAAAACGTTGCGATTCAATTTTATATCAAGTAATTTTGTAATTGTGTTTAAAGGAACTGCTTAAAGTTTTGTGTAAATTCCTACATTAATTCTACATTACAATTATTTATAGTCTCAGACGGCAATTTTCCTCAAAAATTGTAATATTTTTTTATTGACTCGAGCCTAATAGAGTGTAATTCAAACTAAATAGGATTTGTTTGATCGTTTGAATCGAGAAAAAAGTCGGAAAAATTTTTCAAAAAAATCTACCTTGAAGCAAAGGTTTGCGATTGCGAATAGTCCAAGTATAAGAAATGTAGCTCCTATATATATTGATAACATTGCCGGTGTACTGAAAAGAACAAATAATGATTGGTATCGATCCCCATTTGGTTTCAAAGGTTTCAAACATTTTTTGCATGATTTTGGTGGTTATTGCACCTTTTAGCGTGTTTTTAGGTGGATTTAGACTGTTTTTGCACATTTGAACAAGTTTTTGGTGCAAAAACTACCAGGAACCACCATAAAACACGCTAAAACATGCAAAAACCAGCAAAAAAACAAGCTAAAATGTGAAAAAAAACGTCTAAAACCACCAAAAACACACTAAATGTACAAAAGCCATCAAAAAAACACCCTGAAACGTGAGAAAAAACTATTAAAACACGCCAAAACCATGCCAAACAACAAGTACACGCTAAAATGTGCTTTAAAATTGCAGTTTCGTTTTCTATTTCAGTGAATCATAGATTTCTTTTTTAAAATATGACATAGTATAATTACGAAAAATCAGATTAAATCACAGAGAAAAATTCTACAAAACCAAAAACCAAAAAATCCCCAGTTCAGAATGAAAAAAAATAATATAAAAAAGACTTGATAAGTGAATTTATATTGCTTCATTACTTACAAAGGTATCATGATGGCCTGTATTATTATAATATGTATATAAATAATGAGTCCAAATGTAGCATAGAGAGGAAATTGCTGGTCGTGGTTATGAAGATACTGAAAAACAAAACAAAAATTCAAAATATTGTGATGGTATGCAATTCAAGAGTCCTTCCTGCTGCACACTAACACAAATGGATTTTTGTATCGTTTTGTCTGATCAAAATCAGACTTCCTCAGACATGTACTTTACAACAAATTGGCAGGGCTCTTGAATTGCATAGTATGGTCATGTTTATTCCTGCTACAGCATCCTTGCATTATACACATACAAATTCACTAGCGCAAAGGCATCGAGGAAGGATTGAGAGTTAGTCTCGCATAACCTCTACTGATAGTTATATTATAGTAGTGTTATATTTTATGCAACAATATCTGATATATATTTTAGGATTGCCATCCCATTTTAATTGATATAGTGTAAATTAAAATGATTTAATCTTTGAAATCGCATAAAAAGCTATTTTGGTCACATATTCAATAATTCTTGAGAATTGTGGAAGCGATGCCCTAGTTTTTAAATCGTTGAGTAAACTACGTCGAACCAAGTTCAAAATCTTGGGATCGAATCCTATGCCCACCACCTCACTTAAGGTGTAATAAATTGGATAGGTAAACTTACAGATTGTTTGAAATATAGTAGCTCTCAACATATCAGAGGGCCATACTTGGTAAAATGAAATTGAAGCGTTGAACTAACCTCTTTTTCTTGATCTTTGTCTTTGAATGTGAGAAAGAATGTACTCATATGACCGGATCTCAGAATATCGAGAGATTGATCGTCGATTGCACGATTCAAGAAATCATTAACATCTTCTTCCGCTCGTCCGTATGTTTGTTCGTCAGATATATTTGGCGTCAATACTCGTCTGAAATAAAATTATTTTATTTTTTTTAATTTAATTTCCCTTAATTTTTTGTTTCAGTTATGAAATCTGCTGGAAGAAAGTTGGAAGCTGCTGCGTTTACATAAACATCACACAATACATTTAAAATTCCTAGGAACAGAGTCAAAATTCAGTGATTTTTTGGTATTGGGAGTCAAAGCTGTTGTTGTCATTTTAGACTAAACACACTAAAAGTGATTAATCGGAATCAAAATTGTCAACAGGAACCAAAACAACATCAAGCCAAAATTTCAATTAAGTTTAACAAATGTCAAAATTTTTTTTCGCTCGAAATGTGAACAAGATGGCGTCAAATTTTGTTAATTTGATGTTGGTAGTATAAGCCTAAATCACAATCCCAATTAGGTTTTTAATGGCTTGAATTCTGGAATAAAATGAAGTTGCTCAAATTTCATATCACTGGGTTTTACTATCAAATGTATAACGGACGTACCCTTGTCTTTCATCGAATCCCATCATTTTCATTTCCTTGCTGACATATTTCTTCCATTTAGCTGGATTTCTACTCGATCCCGACATTGAAGTTGTCTCAGGTATCGTGCTCTGTGATCCAGAAAATATAAATTAGGACAAGTATCAATTTTGCGAATGATACCATTTAGTTTGAAATCACTTTATTATAGTTTATGTACTAATACCACTTTTGCTCAAGACAGGGCAGAGTAAGGAGCTAATAGTTTGAAAAAACAATCCAGTTCGGCATTGCTTACCCAATTTAGTATTAATATACGCCAGGTGGGCATGAGATTTGAAGCTGAGATTTGAATCTGCAATGCCAACATATTCAAATAAAATGCTTTACCCTCTGCCACCACTACAATGCGGTCACTTATATTTTTACAGTTAACCTTGAATATCACATATTTAATTTTATGTTGTGATTCGCAGAGTGGTCGCAATGCTCAGATATATGGTAGTCCAATGAGTAACAACATTACAGTATTAGCTTAAACGACATACACATAATTCTGTTATGTGATTGGATTCAAATGGCTCGAAGTAAAATCACAAATCAAGTCCAATACCGTGGCAATTTACGATCAAATTTAGGACATAAAAACTCACTTTTGGTTTTTCTTTTAGTCCAACAATCAAATATGTAGTAATATCTTTTTCTTTTAAATATTTATTCCTTTCTTGTCCATTGCCTGGTTCAACTTCATAATCATCTTTCAAATATTTATATGTAGCCTCAGTGATGTGGATACGTCTGTAAAAAATTCAACTTGACTAAATTTGCCCTTTTTTAGCTAATACTGGTATTGAAAACGAGGTAGAATTTTCCCGCAAATGTGTATCAGATAAAAACAGTCAAAAAGGCCTTGCAAGTATTACCTAGTTTTCAGAGTTAATTTCCATACTCTACCGAGAACGATACTTCTATAATTAGCCTATGGTAATAAAAATGTATAATGGAGATGTAGTATTGGAACAGCTTTCAACTCCCTGGGACATATTCGATACCTTTTATTTGAAAAGACAATCATACATACCCAGCACATCCACCCGCTTCCATTTGGTTAGCGAGAGTTACATCGTTACTCCATACATCAAATTGCCATTTTTTAAGTCCCAGTACTCCACAGTGAACACGTCCAGTATGAATACCCACTCTCATATCTAAACCTGGAATACCAGTGACATCTCGTACCAGCCTATGAAAAAAAAATATTCGTTTATATTAAGGGGAATCGAGCCATTTAAAAACAACTCTGACTCCAGGTTGAGGAAAATTTTGAGTAAAAAAAAAATTGCACTCAACTCTCGAGCCATTTGACCCTCATATGAATCTCTCTAATCAGTCTGGCATCCCCCAGCCTATCGCACCCTTCCACAGAGATTAGTATTGACATAAATATGTACAGAAGCTATAATAAAAAAAACTCACGATATGGTGTCTATCATATCAAGACCCATTTGAACACAGCATTGTGCATGGTCTGCCCGTGGATCAGGAAGTCCAGAAACACAGTAATAGCAATCACCTAAAATCTTGATTCTCAAACAGTGATTATCCTGGAAAAGTTGAAATAACAATTGGTAGAATTTAAAATTACTAAGGAAATATTCAAGTGCAAATATAGATTGTTGCTGTTGTTGAGAAGAAATTGCTTTTCTCCTAAACTAAAAGACCATAAGAACACTCAGAGTCCAAAAACCCCACCCACTCGAGAAATAAAATTTAGTTTGATAATATGAATCGGAAAATTATTTTTTTGTGTGGCCCAGCTAGATGTCTGAAGTTGGTTATATGGCCCACTGCAAAAAATGTTGCAAACTCCCAGTCTACTCTATGCGATCTGTTTATGTGACAAATGAAACATCAAAGCAAACCTTGGCAAGTTTATCGAAGCGAGCGAATAATTCATGCAAAGTCCGAACAAGATCGTGTGCTCGGCATTGTGAAGCAAGTTTCGTAAATCCTTCTATGTCGGCAAAGAGTATACTGTAAAGACATAGAAATGGTTAAGCTTCTTACCTAAAAAGTAAGGAAATTGAAATAACGAGACAATGGATTGTGATATCATTCTGATAGCTGATTATAAAATCCTTTGCCATAAATGTAGTAATGAAATTATGTGTTTATTTTAAACAGTAATAAATAAATATTTTCTCACCTGACGTTATTGTGTTTTTGTATATAAATTTTATGGAATTGTTGATTTTGTCTTTCATATTCAATTTCGGCTTTCATTTCCATGGCAACGTGGCGAGGAAGTACAGAAAGGAGTAGTCGCTCCTACAATTGAATTGAAATCAACAAAGGTACTATTTTTGGATGTTTTTCAAAAAAAGGTTTTCAAAAGGTTAGACTTTATGTATTAATTCAAAGTAAATGGCATAAAAACCTGTTGGTGATTTTCTTTTTGCGTTTTGATCCTAGCTTCGATACAATCTCTCGTTTCAGCGAACGCTTTTCGTTGTGCGACTTCCGCAGAAAATCTTGTGCATACCCCGGCGATATTTGTGCCAATGAAAATAACAAGATCTGCAAACACCTGCATAAAAAGAAAATTTTTTTACACAAAAAGTTTTGCTAAATTGTTGATGTTTTGGTCAAAAAAATCCCTCTCCTCCACAACTAATGAACTGATCGATTACGAATTTTTTGTACTTAAATATGAAAAGGGCAAAAAAGTTTTTATTTATTTTGACATATACGAAATAATATACATTCTTGTCTATATATTTGAGCATTGCTGTCTTCTTTGCTTAAAAAACTATAATCAGGCAGAGGAACATAGATGTGCTGCATTTACGATGAAATAACAGAAACCCATCGACTGAGGTGGACTCAATTTTAGGAATAATTGAACAGGCTGGATTTTGATTTGAGTTAACCCATTCGGGGAATATCTCAGGTATCCAAATAAAAATAAAATAAGATGGATGAACCATATAAAAAAAGTTGATAAATGAATCAAACTTGTTTCGCTCAAATTAATAACCTTTTTCATTCTAATTTATGTCTTTATAATGTACTAGATGTTCTAACTAAATCATAGATGGCTAGAAGACATATCAACTTTGAGTTTGGGATCTATATTTTGTAATAATGTATAGGATTTATGCATATCTCTGCAAACTTTAAGAAAATTGGTTGAAAGAATAGATAACCATTATCGAATAGTTTGTTTTCTGAGCGTTTTTTAATATCTCACAGTCACACCTATTCGACCACTGATATCTGACGTTATTATAATGTAACGTTATAAACTTAAAGTTTAAATAAAATAGAAAATGGTTTTCATACTACTTGGGTGATTACAGAGGGCTATTAAGATTCAGTTGGAAGAAAATGTTATTTCAAGTATAAATTTGCTTTAAATTTACGTAAAATGAATTGATACTGGTATTTTTCATTAAGAATAAATTGAATTAGGCTTCAGTCGAATATCATCCCGTAGGGAGTTGGATTATTAAAACTACCCAACCAATAATATCGCTTTCGATCCAAAATGCAAATAATTTCTTATGATACCTTATTAATAGGTCCAATAAATAATAAAATCGCAGACAACAGTATTATCTTTTTTTTTTTCAAAAAAGGAATAATTGATAGTCCAAAAATGATTTAAAAGTGTAACTAGGCAATGATTTTTCTTTCAAAACATTCATTGTTATATATGCGCATAATATTAAAACAATACTGTTAATTTGAATATCACAGAGTGTTCATAAGTCTTCTTACATTTCCAATCTACCATGTTTGTTTCATTTTAATCAGAGATTATTTAATAAGTTTTTTTCTTCAATGAATAAATCTGTAGGGGCCAACAAACTGTATGGTGTTGATAATTTCCCTTTACAATTTAAAAATTTTTGAGACATTTTTGTCTATGGCTATTCATATAAATTAGCGAGTTACAAAGACTTCTTTTGATATTATGATGAATGAAGCTGAGTTTCCATTATGGGGTTTTATTTGCTAGTTTATTCAGACAGAAATAGTGGTCGGAATTATCCATTTCCAGTATTTTTTAAATATTCTAAATAGTTTGTATCAGCCCGAAGTACACCTGAGGCCCTATCATCATGGATATTCTCAAAGACAACTACTTCCTTGTTTAGTTCCGTAATCATGACCAATCATCAATGGGTCATCAATCAACGTGTCTATATTTTTGAAAGCGTTACTGTCGTTTCAGAATCCAATTATTTTCAAACCTGAAGTCAAATTTCCTCTAATTAAGGTTTTCAGCTCGAAATGACGAAACGTGAAAATAACTGATTTGAGAGAATGAAGATAACATATCTTTTGTACTCTCAAAGCAAGTTATCGAAATATTTTTGATAAATATTGCTGCAAATAATAATTATGTATCAGCTTAATTAAAGAGCAACTAGTTCTTAATATTTTCAAATAGTAATTTCTTCAAAATATCAACATTCAGACTTTTGTCTCGAATCCATCCAAATAAGTTAATAAGTTTTACCTGCAATATTTGACATGTAGTATGATTTTGTAGCATAAGTCGAGGTTAAATCAAAAGAAAGAATATTCAATTTGTTTGTATAAATACCTCCTGTGTATAGGCAGTTTTGTCTGCATTCGCAAGATAAGACAATAGAAGGTGGATGACGCTAAGGGACACTCCTGCAGTTGAAACAGCCAGTAGCGGAAGAGGCATAAAAGTGTAAAGGGTGTACGTTACAAGAATCGTTAACCAAATAGCGTAGCCCGTCCTGTAAACAAACAGTTAAAGTGGTTATTTCTCTAAAATGAAATGACAAGTCAAACTAAAATATGTATCTACCAAGCATAATACAAAAATAAAATATCAATTTATTTACAAGCCATGTTCGGGCCATGCTACTAGATTAATAAGACTATTAAAACTATAAATAAGACAGAAAATTGCAATAAAGCACACAGATATTATGCTAGCCGAGAATATAGGAGACAAATTATAATGAGGAAAACTTACGTGTAGATCTCAACTTTTACGATGGTATAAATATCCACAGCTAGAATCATCGTTAATATAATGTAGCACAGGTAGAGCAGTGTATATTGAGAAAAAACATTAAATAAAAATACGACCTGCAAACAGAATAAAGAAAATTTAAATTCCCTCGAAAATGGAGTATCTATCTATCAAATGTCATAAAAGTATTAAAATTTGTTGAAAAATGGATTTACGATCATAGATATTTTAAAAGAAAACCACACATGGAATGCCTCAGAAATTTAAAGGTTTGTTATTATACAATAGGAGTGAATAAGAAATAAATTGTTATTTTGAAAAACTGATTAAAACAATCGAGGCACACAATATCTTGCTGGTAGCCATTAGTGTCGAAGACTAAAATCTAGGATTTTAAAGCCGGTAAATTCAATAAAGTGGATTGGCTTAAAGCTAACTCAAATTGATTCTATTCTATTCCTTCCAATACTGTATAGCTTCATCGATACCAAAAGGGTAATTTGTCCAAACATTTGTGAGAAGTAAAAAAGATACAGTTATGTCTTCCAAAATGCAAGCACATAAGCCATTAGTATGAGTATTTCTAACAGATGTTTAAACTTCATGTTGTGACGAAATTTTAGGAGTCAACCAAAGATCGTTATGTTATTATTACAATAAAATTAAATTTCACACACAATTATTGGAATGTTTCACAATAAATAACGCATCAAAGTTCAAACACAAGTTAATTACATAATTATTTCTGTTTTCAAGAATATTATATACAATATATATTTCAAGAGGGAAAAGTCAACAATTTCCGATCCCGTTATGATTTTATATCAAAAAGCACAAAAGCTGTGCAAATTTAAAATAGAAACCTCGGAATGTTGAACCCGTCAAATTTAAATTCAAATTGGACTTCGGGACGTTGAACCCGTCAAATTTAAATTAAAATTCAACCTATCAAACAGTTTTGTTAAAAAATAGTATGCATTTTTTCAGATACCTGTAACACGAGACAAGCGAATATAAAACATCCATAAACAATTCCATTTGAGACATCTCTGTATTCTGATTCTGAACCAATGTAATGAAAACCTGTTGAAAATCAAAATATAGAAATTTAGAACAATCATCCAAAAATAAAGTCCTATCAAAATTACAAATTCGTTATGAAGTCAGTTCACTGTATATCCTTACCAGGTTTGTTTTTTCTTATTAATCAGTGTTGTTTAATTATAATTTACTTTGCCCGGTGGTGTGACGCATTGTGCTAAGGGTTAGGTATACGCTCGCCACCCCCCTCCCGTGGGTTCGCAGGTCGATTTCTGTGGTTATTTCCACAGGAAATATATGTGAGAGCATTGCTGGACTCTTCGCCACCGCAAGGTGGTTCACATAACCATTGGTTGAGGGTTTGCTGTCTTATCGGCTTTCCTCTCCCCGGGAATAAATAGGTAAATTTTATCCTACTTCATTTAATACATCTTTATATGCCTACCAATAATTGCGCAAGCACATCAAAGTTACTTAACCTAATTTAACACTCTGTAGTCTGTACATTTATATTACCAGTATCTATAAATTCCTAATACAGTATTATAGTATTTAAATCTGAATAAGACCGGAATCATTAATAACTGAAGATGCATCATAAAAATTTAATATAATAGCCCATCATTATTATATATTGCATATTTCATTCAACCGCGTTTTCATAGTTTTTTTAATTTAATGTAATTTTAATATATACAGAAGTTAATGAGCTCAAATGTCACGCCTTCAAAATGTATTTGAAATTCGCTACATAGGATAAATTTAATCAAGATAAATGTAGAAATTGGGTATCATCCAAAAATAACAAGCTTGAGAATTAATTCCCGTAATTCAGAAAGAAAATATAGACAAAAATTGTAGAATGGATATAAAATTAAGATTTCAGCAAAAACAAATTTTGTCTTTTTTTCAAGAAAATGACAAATATATGGGTTTTGAATTTGAACTTTTGATATTGCATATGAATATTGTTTCAAAAATGTTTTATAGTTAATTCTATTTCAAGTTGACAATGATTATTTTTCCAAAAAAGAGTAAAATTTAGAATACTGATAGTGTACGAATTACTTTTTAAAAAATCATATCATTATCCAAAATAACATATTTCAACTGTCTATAATTTCAGGCGACGATTAAATTTAGCTATGTCCTTGAAAATATCATAAAAAATGCAGAATTTCCTTCAACGTAGGATATTTTTGATTTACAGTATTATATTCATGATATCAGTGTGTCAATAGTAAATATACACGTTTCATTTTAAAATTTCTCTCCCGAAAATAATATTTGGTAAATTTCAAAAATAATCAATTTAATTTTAAGCTGCCAATTTCCTTTCAACCGCATATTTTTCTCGACTTAATCCTATTGAAATTTGTTCTAAAAATAGGTGACATGGTCTGTCAGGCTGTTACTAAATATATTTCATGTTTTATGGTCTTCATTCAAATTCGTGGAAATCTTTCTTTTCTAATTCTCGGTTATTTAAATCAAAATATGAAGGATTATATTTATAACCTAGTTCAATCATATGAAAAAAAAGCCAGGAATAAAAAAAAGTGTAACCTAACAAGTGTTTATTAAAATTAACTTAAAAAAATATTCCACTTTTTTTTCAAATTTGAAATAAATACAAAAGGATTATTTCTAAAAACAAAAAAGCTTTTGAGATTTCAGATAACTGACAATTTTTTCCGAAATTTGCTACTCGCGGCGGAATTTTTGATTATGACTCAATTTTGAATATTCGATATTGAAATATTAAGAATACAAGAAATCCATTACATTCAACTATCAGATATCGACATTCTTAGAAATTGGATATTAAATTAGAAAAAATTCTCATATTTAATGAGTAATACCATTATATGATCAAAAAGCCAAAAGTAAAACTGCATATATTATCCATAACGAAAGAGAGGCATCAGCTCAGCGTACCATAATAAAGAATAAATTTGCCTTCATTTGACCTGAGCTGAGCAGACATAGGTCCCATTGGAGCCGAATTTCTTGGGAATGATAATATTGTTTAAAATATCCACACTGGCGCGAAACCCTCCAGAAGCCGCCATGAAAAAAAATAAAAACCTCTCCAGGTTTCCCATTACCACATTGTATGATTAAACTGTTGCCAATATAGCTATTTAATTAATAATGCATGATAAAATGAAAATTTTACAGTATAAGAGATAAGAGCTTCTTTGGCTCATCACACCAAATTTACTAAGTACGTTTTGACATAATAACTCATCAACAAGGAAGAGTATGTTTTGACATAAATTTGCGCTCGTGTATCTTGTTCTTGTCCCATTACCTGTTTCGATGATCTCACTAGAGACCTCGAGTGTGTTTTGACATATTGTTGCACAACATCCAAAATTTATTTACACTCTTCCAATTAGAAAATGTTCTTGTTTATACCTACATCTGGCATGGGCTTTCTATAACATGTTGTGATACACACTAAACATTAATAGATATGTTGTAAAGTTAGGAAAAGTTTCTTACTTCATAAATTATAAATAATTTGAAAAGATTTTTTGGCAAATTTTGCTCTGTAAAATTGGCATAAATTTTGGCAATATCGCAGAATAATTCAATAGAAATTTTATTTCAGTTGTTTTAGGAATTTGACAGGCCTGGATAAAAATAGACTATAAAGATATATATTTGTGTTAGCAATGAGGTCTTGGATGACTTGATATATGAAGTAATTTAATTAAAAATACCATTTCGGGTACAGTAGACAGATTAATCAAATAATTATAAAATGAATAAGTATTCATAAAAGCCATTATGCCCGCCTAAGTTTTCAATAATATAAGCTTAAAAATATTATGCTGTTACCATTCCGGGACAAAATTTGACACTCCTGAAGTATGAGTACCAAGATGGCGTACACCGGAATGTAGTATGTGTATCAGGTTAGGGTTAGGCCATAATTGTAGGTACAAATATTACGTGACCACTTGGCCAGTCCCCGAACTCGTAATAAAACTGAAATAAAGAAAAACGGAATAAAATTATGGCCTAACCCTAACCTGGTACACATACTATGTTCCGGTGTCCGCCATCTTGGTACACATACTTCAGGAGTAGGCTACCCAAAATTCAAATAGGTAATTTGAGATCACCTCGATTCTGAAATTCCACAATGATAGATAAGCCTATATCTATTGCTGTTTTTATTATTATATCTATCTGATACTGTCTGACTGATAACATTGTACAATGGAGAATATCTTGAAATCAAAAAAATTAATACTCCGGAATGTTTTGAAATACTTATATAATTTTTTTCATAATCAAAGCTTAATTCTATTCAGGTAATAGGTACGAATTTAATCACAGCCGTGAGTTTTTTTTCAAAATAATAATGAATTTAAACCAAATTTCATTTGTAATAAGGCAAGTCAAAGCCAAGTATCGTGGCTTCAAGTTCTGTTAAAGATGGGTACAGTCGCCTTTCTTTTTTCTACTTGAGTCTAGCAATTAAGCAAGGCAATGTCAAAGTCATTCTGCAAAGTTCATGACGATGATCAAGTCACCTTTCATGGCTTTATTCAAGTTGAGTCATTTCACCTAACTGAGTAACGGCTAGTCATTTCAAAAATTTACCAACTTCGCCCTAATTCAAGTTGAGGCTCTAGACTCAAAAAAGGCCCATTCTATGATTTTTAAACAACGTTTCCAATGACTTCTGCTCTGAACTAGGCTCTGTGCGAACCATCCACTGATAATAGAGGAGCTCGTATTAGTTGGGTTAAATATCAGTTAATAAAAAGAAAAACTCACCAATGAGAAAAACACATAAGGCAATAATGAGCCACAATAAAATAGTGAGACTTTTCATATTAAGTCTGAAGAAATATCTTTGATATAGCTTTTCAACTGACGCAGATTCAAATTGCATGCCACTGAAAAATTTCTTGATGGGTCCTGACGTCAAAAACCTGTAAAAGTTGATATAAAAATAATAGAAGTTGAGTGTCAGATTAGATTATTAAATCCTCAAGAGTTTTTATGGAAAATTCATATCTGTTATAAATTTCAAATAAACATTCTATTCTTGAAAATGCGTCAGCGATGCTCGAATCTGGACACAAAGTCCAAATGTCGTATATAAGTGCTGATATGAATTACCACAATTTGACAGCAAAATTTTTGCATAAAATATTAGAAAATTTCAAATAGAAAATAATGTGGCTTCTTCAATCTTTTGAAAATCTGAAATTGTTCGGTCCCCTAGTTGCAGAGAAAGGGGAATTTTACACCACATTAGCAACCCCAATAATAAATATATCACCCCAATAGCAAAACGATCCATATTGTCTATACATCATTTTTAAAGAAAAATTGAATTTTGAAATCATAATAAATTTTTCGGATAAATACTAGTACCTCCAAAAACGCATTGTTTAAAAAACACTTCACTATATGCACAGCTTAACTCGATGTGAGTTTATGAGTTCATCGATAATTTCCAAAACGCATGCATATCAAGAATAGATCAATTTTAGGAACAATTTTCGAATTAGCAAGTCTGCTATAAATGTTTTGAAATATTTAAATCAATTATCCAGATGGTATCTGAAATAAGAGCACTAATCTTGATCTGGCAAAATCTATATAAATATGGTATGTTAATCAGTAAAATCATCTTGCCTGTGGCACATAAAGCATTTTCCTTTGACATTATCATCTTTATGCATTGAAAGATTATTTTCGTCTGATTGAGCATGAGTTTGATGATTTGCTGCTGCATTTGCCACTGTATTATTGTGTATTGTCGTCGTTGAACCGTCACCGTTCCGTTCCGTAATGCTGAATTCGTATTTTCCGGAAGATCGATAAGGGGAAGACGATTTGATGTGTGGCACAGGCTTGGAAGTGTGGTTTTTATTATTGCGGCTAGTCCTAACCAAATCAATTCCTCTTGTAGGCACTTGCGGCATCTGGCTTATATTGTTCTGCCTTCTAAACTTGTCTTTTTGTTTGCAAACTACAGGACTATTCTGTGCGGATGCGGACATGTATTGGTTAATAGCGCTAACATCTTTTGTCCTTCGGTTCACTGGTAAAACAAAAAGATTTCAGCATGAAATACAAAAAAAATTTGATAGAACGAGTTTGATTCAGGGATAAAATGGAAAATTATATATGCTTTATATGTGGACCATGTTTTATACAGTGAAGAATTGTGATACAATAATTTGATTAGATGATTCAATTTGAAAAAGGATAAATCATCCCTCGGCAAGTAATCATCATAATGATGACAATTTTATAGTTCTTATCAATTTAAACACAAGATGTGTGCAAATGTATAAATTACAAAGACAGCAGGTGTTTGTGCAGGCTACTTAGTTCAATTTAAAAATTATTTTCATGTTGATAATGATGACAAGAATGGGCCAAAGATAGATAGGATATCTATATACGACCCAATCATGGACAGTAAAATATCAAATTTTAAAATGCAATTATTCATAGTTCAGCTGAGTTTCGTTATTAAATGTAAGATTACATACAAAATACAAATCATTCCTGGAAGAAAATATAAATTTGGTTAATCTCATTGCAAACGAATAAATAAAGATTCATTTACCATAAGGGCTGCTTGACAAAGACGAAGCAGACTTGGCTCTAAATATTTTGAAGATGTTCCTCTTATTGGATGTCTCTGGCGATCTTGGTGATTGAGCATCGACTGAAATAACAGTAAAGTTATAACATAGAAATACTCACTGTACAAACAGTCACTGATGTGTCAAAATCTACTATATATTACATACTGAAATCTTTTCCATTTTGTATTTTAAACATTATTTTTGGTATATGTATGAGTTGCAGTATATGTAGATAGAGAGGATGTTACGTTATTAGACATTCCAGAATGTAAACGTATGTGTGTTGTTGAGATTACATGATAACCTGCTGATGATATATAGGAATTCTGAAACTAGAAATTTAATTTCAGGTCCAGTATTTGCCAATAATAAGGATACGTAAGGTAATATGACACTTTCAGTGATGACATAATTATGAACTAAATAATCTGAGAATGAAAATTTCAATTGTCTATTTTCAGTCCATGATAAATGGGTATTGTTTACATGACAAATAAGAAATAACCACGGCTTTGAATAAGATAAATATAGCGACATTTTGTATTTTAAGATACACCACTAATTTTAAAATAGCTATCTCATCTGAATTTAGCTGTTGAGCGCAGGGTTGTAAAGTCGGAGAAAATTCACAATCTCTCGAATCTAGTATACAATTCAAGAGTCACACACATAGCGCCGCGGGAAATGCAATAGGTGTGAATTCAGCTTTCGCTTAGCCCCACAGTAATAAAAGCACCAGGCAAAATGGCGAAAGATTTAACACAGCGACAAGAGCAAAAAAAACATTATGTATTATTATCCATGTGAGTGCCTTTTTAAACATAAACTGTCGAATCAGGATTTTATGCTTGATGAAGAAAAATCTTAGTGTTGACAAGGGCCACACTGAATGGCTTGGGGTTTTGGCCCGCGGGCCACCTGTTGCACAATCCTAGACTAGACCCATTGCTATACTTGCATGGATGGTCTTCTTTATATTTATCCCAAGAAAAGTGAAGTCAATTAAACCTTATGATGGTAAACTCTGGCGTCTAGTCACAATCAAATGATTGATGACCCTTGTTATTGACCACTTGTAGAAAGAAAATCAGATATTTCCCCAAAGTGTCTCACTCATTTCTTATAAGCAAATATTCCAGCAAAAAAAATATAATTTATTTCAACTTGAAGCCTAAAAAAGAGCTATTTTTCATATTTTTAAAACCAACTTCAGGTGCAACACATCATTATTTATTATTAATATGCCTTTGAATGGCATTTATTAAATTTCTATTTTTAACCAAAATTAAAACCATTTCAATACAGGATTTCTGTTTTCATAAAATCTACTTATATAGGCCAGAGTATTTTATAAGCTCCAAAGGAGCATAAAATTTAATAAGGTGATATTAAAACGTCGCTAATATACATTTAGTACAGACAAAGCCCCTTGCGTCCTGTGCTTTTCACATAGTAACTAGTTTATTAACACTAATAAAAAATAGAAGGTCAAACGAGTGTAGAATGACTAAAAATTACGAAAAATATTTTATATTGTACAAACATTGAAGTAAATAAAGTTTACTACAAATTACAAAATTTATGAGTGGGTTTACTTACTTACGTTTGAGTGAGTTGACTAAAATTTGATACGACATGGGAATGTGCATAGAAATTAATTCACAGAACAGATATGAAATTAATATCGTTCAAAAATGTTGATTTTTTAGGAATTCCACTATCGATTTCTCTAATACAAATATTTATTTGTCGACGTTTTTACATGTGTTTTTCTCTGAACAAGGCTTTGCACAAGTTAGTATATATTGAAAGGCTTTGTTCGTTACAGCATATTCTGAAACGAAAAACTAGTAAACTATTTCCAAATTCTGCATTGACTGGTAACCGGACTGGAGGCTCAGGTTCGCCAGATGATTATCGTGATTATCGTCTTTCCTCTCCATGGTATAACCATGGAAATCCAATCCCATTCGTTAAAAGCGAACATCAATTTGAATTCAAGACAGACAAGGTAGAAAATTTAGAAGAAAAAAAATCTTTTTGAGTAACAAGAGTATCATCTTTGTAGGAGAGATATAATAAACGAGAATATCGGTTGGAAACCGAAGACTTATCGATCGATAGTTAGGGGATCCCCCAAAACAGAAACTGCAGTTTCGATTCATCCGCTCTTGTAACTTGCGCACTGCGCATCGCACACACACACTCGGCGGGTTTCAAAATTCTCTCGCTTTACAAAAATCTAGATCACTATATCAATAATTGATTGATAACTCGCTAATTATACGACATAATTCGCCCAAAATCAATAGGATTCTGGTCCGAGATAAGATGAATGCACATGCAAAATCTGGAGCAGATTCAATCCCGCTTTCGTGAGATATCGCGTGCATCTAACAGACACACACACACACACAGACAGACAGACATACAGACAGACATACATACAAATACCTATCAATATACTTACCGATCTTAAGATCGATAAGTAACTATGATAAATTTATGTCATTCCCTACAGCTTACTTACAAACATAATATTCAAGGAAGTACTGGTTCTTGTGATTTTGAATTAGGTAAACATATTCGAATAGAGTCTTCCGTCTTGTAGTCTGCATTGATAACATTATGCAAACGTTTGGTTGTTTAATTTAAGTTCTTATGTGAGACGTAATTTATTTAAAGTATGAAGCTGATTTCAAAAGGAAGACTGGATATATTTGAGGAATGATTAATAAACGGTGGAATTATAAAGTATAACCAATTTTATCCTTCCGTTTAGCAATTTACTCACAATATTCTAATCGGATAGCAAACAATCCACGATACTATCTGTTTTATTACTATAAACCCACTGAACTCTTTTTGACCTTAAAATTTAAAAAAGGAAAAAAAATTTGAATGGAATTTTATTATCATTTTCGATAAAGTAAAAGGGTTTATGAATTTGTTGTTATATGATTTTTGATCGATTGAGAAAGCAATAGAAAACCAGTCAAAAAAAAGGGGATTTCATACATAGATGTCAGATAAAAATATATTAAAGACTTTGAAATATAAATAATTTTTACCTATTTTATAACAGTATAGTAATTTTCTCCAAATTTTAATTTCCTGCACAAAGCCCCGGCGCCGGTGTATAATTTTCAGCTTATCAGTAACATTAACCAATAATAGCGGTAGGAATTATAATTTTAAGAGATTAGTCTACTGTGTTTATTATATTTATAACTTCACAATTATTGGGATTAGAATTCATATTAGTACAGTGAGGAAGTTAACGCTAACAATTCGCTTTATTATTAAAATATCTTGCATAAAAAATTGAAGTGGAAAGAGCATCTAGATTCATTAACGCAATCACACACAAAAAGTTTGATACAAAAAAAAATGATGCCGTTTCTGCAATAAAATGGCAGCATTGGAGAAGAAAACTGATCGAATAGACAACAAAATCATAGCTTTTTGGACAAATGGCACTTATCGGATTGTTTTACATAATAGTTGCAGTTATTCTAAAAAATCTTTTCCCTCAACTTGAAATTAAAGTATTTAATTAAGTAATTAAAAGCGATGGCTATTACCTCATTACTATTTTTTTAAACAATTTCAGTCAAATGGAGCCCTGGCATTCCAGCCAAAATTTTTCCATTTTTGCACATAATGTACCACACCGTGGTATTCCATATCCACTAACATAATACAATTTGAAATGTAATTGATTTTTACATATTAACAGCCATATATCAAATACCGTAATACGATCAATTTTAATTGAAGGTTTTTTACTGTTGATTTTTTAATTTTATAACAAGCATCTTCCCAGAATTAGGCCTACCCTGTATAAAAAACGAGTCAATATTACAAAACCATCACAAATTATCAAATACACACCGAAAATTATTTTTTTATCAACTGTATATATTATTTTGATTCTCCATGATATATCCATGATAGTGGTCATGTGGCAGTATGTACAAACAAACTATTTTGAAAATTGAAAGGCATTCTTCTTGTGGTGTTTGGCAAAAAAGAATCAAAATGAACCTTAACAATATGGTAGTGAAATTGGACAGATAAAATCTGCAACTGACCATAAATATATGAAGTTGACAGTTACATAACATCAAAATGTTTTTAACAGAATGCTTCGTCAATTGCGTAATTCAGGTTATTTTGTTGAGATTCAGATTTCGACAATGGTGGAAAAACAAAAAAATTTTGATAAGGAGCAATCAAATGTTACTTTACCTGATAGGCTATATTAAAATACTTTAATTTTAAGGCATTAAAACTTGAATTTTTTGAAATTTTACTTTTTTTTCAATCTTTTAACAAAATAATCAATTATCTTTTAACTCTGGACAAGAAGCTCAACTGAAAGTCATAAAATCTTACTTTCAGTATTTGATAATTTTACAAAACAAAAATTATACTTAAAAAAACTTCTGGTACCTGATTTAGACTCTGTCGTTAGGACTTTGGCAGATGTACAGCTTATGGAAGAACCATCTCCATTTGAATTGACATTGTTCCTATTCTTTCCATGTTTCAATAAATCTTTTGACTGATTTTTTGAGTTCCGTGATTTTTCTAGTAAACCTAGAAGTGAATAAATCATAAATGCAAGTTACTTTTCTGTCGGTATCAAAAAGTAATTTTGTAAGAGAGATAATCTGCTTTACGGAAACAAAGTATTAGTGATTGAAACAAATTTATTCAATTTAATGGAAAAATATATTATGCTCCTCCCTATTTCTCATCCAATTTCAATAAGATGAATTAAGTCTAGAAACCTTGCATTGTATGCTAAGATAGTGAATCTTACAATGTTCGTTCTCTAAAAGTCTGGCATGTTATTAAATAGAACGAGCATATGATGTTTATAAAAACTCAAACTGAATAAAATTTGGAATAGCAGTAGTTGAAAAAACGGTTTTTGCAAAAATTCAAATTTAGTGATAGAAACATATTCAAAATTAAATTTCATATCATTATTTGAAAATAAATAAAAAATGCAGAAAAAAGGTCTGAAAACAAAGGCAATTAAAAAAAGTTATTATCACTGAACAGGACAGAAGGAAACAAATAAACCATGCGACATGCTGAAATAGCAAACAGCAATTACAACAAAATAAAACGAAATGACAAGGAAATGGAAATGGATTCATACAAAAGATTCGTCCCACCAAACTAGAAAGTTGATTAATCGAAGATACTAAAGTAACACTGACAACGAGAACAAATTGAGAAATAGAAGCAAAATTTATGAAATTTATGTAGGCATTGAACAATATCTGAACATAAATAATTGTCAAATCCTTAAATGACCCTCTCAAAGGATGTCTATTACAAATCGATTATATCAATAAAGTGAATCTTAATTTAAAAATAATTCCATTTAAAAATGTGCCATTTTGAGCATTTGTCTCATGGTCAGAGACACTCTCTGAGTAACAATGGAGAAAGGGGAAAAATTACAAAAAACGAAATAAAGAAAACATCCCAACTATTTATGTATATACATTATAATCATAGAAGCAACGACAGAATACATATTCTGCATTTCTACATTGTCCGATTATTTATGAATTTACAATTGCTTCTGCCAATTTCCATGTTGAACATGAATCAATTAAGAATATAATATATTCAATATCGTATATTCGAAATTTTTATTTCAGAATGTATTCGGAATTGTAATTATTCGAATCTCTCGAATGTCTATTAGCCATTCCACCTACCAGAATGTACTGTTCGCAAAAAATGACCAGTTTTATTTTGAAATTTATTGACTAAATTATCTATATTTCTGAATTATCCGTTTGCTTGAGGATTTTTGTTATTTCATACATGGGTCTTGTCTTGTCTTGCATGTCTGCCTTCAAAAAAATTTTAAAAATTGAGGAGTTACATGTACAAAATGTCAAATCTGATTGGTGGTGATTAATTAAAGCCTTGTTTATTATTTTCTTTACAATTCATTCCATGGAATCGGGTATCGCCACATAACATATATCAATTACACAGACTCAAAAGTTATAGTAACAACACATTGATACGAGATATGGGCAAATACCTTACCGATATAAATATATTACAAAAAACAGAAAGTTTGAGATAACTTTACGGCTTCTGACGACATATGAATTAAAGCATGCCATATTGGTAATAGTACAGACTACAGAGTGTCCCAAAATAAACTAAACCCATTAATTCGATTACCAATTTTGTGGGTTTCATTTATTTTAGGACACCCTATATTTCATTATTTTCGTCTATGAAATTTGGTACAGATGTCTAATAAGTAATGTCAACACTATAAACAGAATTAAAACAAAGACATGTGATAAGAATAGACATGTGATAAGAATAAGTATGAAAATTCAGAAAATCGAAATTGTTATATTTTTGTATTTTCATAAAGCAAAATTTGGAATGTTTTTTCCCATACCCAAAACGCTAAAGTTTTTCTCAATAATGTACTTTTGATTCATTCCTATTTTGAGTTAAAGTTATACATGAAACAGGTACAAAATAATATGAATTATGTTTATCATTTTGTCTGACAGTCGACACAGCCTTCCAAGTCTTCAAAATAACTTTTTGTTAGCTTATATAACTTACTTTTCTAGTTTCCAAGAGATAGCTATTTTATTGCAGACAACCTTATACCCAGTGACTACGGTAATTATAGTGTAAATATTTAGCAAGTCAATAGTGATTCTGAACTTGACTTGCAACCTTAAAATAATTGTACGCCAATCCGAGAACCATAACAATATCTTAATGTTGATTTGTACCAATTTCTGTTCACGGTTTTCGTCCTTCAAACATATCGACTTTATTGATCGCCCAAATGCAAGCATAATTTTGAGGATTCAATAAAATTGTCAAGCGGCCACGCTTGGCCGTACATAAAAATCGACTGAACGGATTATCAAATATGGCTCAAGATTGGCTATTTATACAATACAAAAATGTAAGCACAAATGTGTGTTTAAATTGGTAGGCTTTATACTGTGGGAGAAAAACTCTGCTCGATACGAAATGTAAACAATGTCATTTCTAGATTTGTAATAGTACATAACGTAAATTTGCTATTCATGGATTTAAACAAAAAGTGGAAACGTTAGAATTAGCGTAACCTACGCTTGTGAATTGAGGTCGGTCGTGAGACCGTAAAAACAAACTACGTCATATCAGGCGACACGACGTAGCTTTAGGTACACGTCAATCAAATCAAAAGAAAAATGATGAAAAAACACGAATGACGATTATTATGTAAAAAAAACGATTTTATCAGCTATAAACTTGGAAAACAAATAAATCTAAATTATCTATTGTCGTTCATAACAGAAAAAACAGCTCGGAATGGAAAAACAAAATTATGTTCGTCTGAAATTGTTTTTATACGATAACTTGTACGACCGCACTTGCACGTAACGCTCGCTAATAGAACAGCTATGTCAAATTATACCGACTCGATTATTCGATTTGTATGAAATTCCATTTATTTGGATTCGCCGCTATATTTTTCTGATCATGGTTTACGGGGTGTTCAAACTAGAATAGTGGGTAAAGCGACATGCTCATCCCATCACCCAGAGTGTAAAAATTGAACCGACAATGTCGAGCCGGAAAGATTTCAGGTCATCCAAAAATAGTATATCATTATTTGGAAAAAACAACAATTTGGGTTTTTGAAAATCTTAAATTAGATCTTTTACAAACATCATATTTTCTAACTCTGTTCCAACTATATTGTATTGGCTTTCACAGTGTCAATTTTGATGATATACTGATAGCAATCAAATAAAAATATTTATTGAAAAAGGGAAAGTGTATTTATATCCTGTGAGAACAGTCTAATGAAGATAATCCTATATGGTCCGTGCAGACCGTGCTTACCAACACCACCTTAAATTAAATTTGTTTCAAGTGGCTCTCGGCATTTCAGTCGTCTCCGGTAACCTCCCCCTAAAGATAAGCCTACTTTATTTCTAAGTGAGGTCGCGTCCGAACATAGCTTTGAACAAGTGTTAAAAATGCAAAATCCATGCCCGATACGAGACAGCCCCTCTATTATGCGAAACAACAATATTTGGTGGGCGAATACAACGCGCTTCCAATAAAAACTATAATCATTCGATTTCATTTGATAACGAACAACGCCCAATTCGTCGGATGAACAAAATTGTTTTCTAAATATGTCCATAAAATTTGCATTTTATTTCTCCGAGTAAAAATAAATATTATCAATATATTATTACTATCGGGATTTTCGGGAGGGCTGTTCGGAATAAACAAGATTGTCAATTTCAAATTCCGAAAGAGAAACGAAAAATCCGTTCACGAAAATGCAAACATTCGTCTACCTTGCCTCTTGAAGAAGGCCCTATTAATGAGCTCAAAAAGACTTCATAAATCGGAACAATATAGTAGTAGATAATTCCGTTCTGCTATCATTTTGAATTTTAAATGAACCTATTAAAAATCATGATTAAGAAATTAGGGCGTCAATAAATATCTTTACTACCTGTATTTAAAAAATCAATGCGAATTTAAATTGTACAGACACTTCATGGACAGTGTACACACGGTATACCGAGTTTCAAAATAATTATTAGCATGGCAAAATTGCAGTATTAATATCAGAAAACAAATTTTACTTGAAATTGAGCAAAAAAATGTTTATACGCCACCATCTCAGACTTGATAAAACAAAACGATCACACCCAATATTTTCTGCGGCGAATAGTATGAACCTTTCTTATCTTATTATAGAACATCCGAACAAACCGTTCTAAAACGCAATCATGCCACGACCTCGCTCACTCGACATGGAGTGTTTCAACTAAATATACCTAAAAATGGACATATGCCGCAAACTCATAAAGCGTTATGGCGATTGTATTCCATTACAAAAAGAACCGACTACAGAGGTGAGAAAATGTTTCAATAATTGTCGATATTTACAATAAAGGGAAATTATTTTACCGATTTTATCAGCCGTCTTTATCTTTATCCGTCGTTGCCATCACCACACCATCCCAAAAAAAAAAGTTTTACATATCTAAAAAAGGTAACAATTTTAGTCAATTTTCTACATATTATTTTGCCATGTCATATCATATTTGGCCGTAATGAAATCGGCACAGATTTTTTTCGGTAACCAGTAACGCTGTGTCGATTTAGCCGCGTAATACAGATGGTATCTTTGACACGAAGTCAATTTAATTTTGTCGTCGTCAATCGTTCGTAAAGGCGATTCGCTTTGATGATTACAGGATTAAATGCATTCGATAAATTTTTTTATTCATTCTACCTGAGGATATGTTACATTATTATCGGTTGTATTCTCTATTCATATGGCCGCGCTTGATACAAATGTAACAAAAAATTCATTTTTTGGGCCAGGACAATTTGCGAAATCATGTTTTCAGTAATGAATAGTGTAAAGCTAAATCAAATGCTAAATATTATGGGCTGTGCCTGAATTGAACGAAAAGGTAACCGTCGTAACCGGGTCTTAGAAATTGTAAAAAAAAATTGTACTCGACAACTAACACCTGCATGACCATCACGTTTGGCTTTGTTTA